AAATCTAGTGATGTTATCGATAACCTTTAATATAATAAGGTAATGATCATATAACAATAGATATTATTTTCAGCCTAAGAGTTTTTAATCTGTCTTGATAATTTGTATAGAAAAATCAACAGAGGATATTGACGAGGTAACACGATAATAGTTTAGAGTTAGAGCATAAATTAATGAGTTAAAATATCCTACGTACTGTAGAGATCATGAAGTCATGATGATTACTTTTACTTGAAATTATTTTAATCTGGTAAGATATTACGCATATACCTAGGGAAATGATTATAAGATATTAATAAAATTATAGGGTTCGAATTAACGGTTTAGAATATGAGCTAACAAATTGAATATGGTACGGTACTCTATACAGTACAGTCATCATTGGATCACGATATTCCGCTCAAATTTTAATCCAGTCGGAAAATACATAATTGAAGAATGATGATTAGAAAGTGGCAAAAACTTCGCTACTTAGAAGTAAAAAAAATGAGTTATTGAATTGATTTTTCTGCTCAGCTATGATTAGATCTTAATATTTCTTCAGAAGTTGAATCTTCCAATCCAGCGACGTAATATGTTGAAAGAGAGTGATTAGAAGATATTGACAATGCATGAACAAGCGGTAAAAAGTTACAATGTTAACTAATCATTTGAATACTTTATTGTAGAAATCACTATACCGATAATAAGATATGATGCAGTAATCGTACTTTGGAATATCAGTTTTGATATTCTACGTGCGTGCCAATGTGTCAAGAGATCATCCTATCATTTGATATGATAACGATTACAACAATAATGATAAATGAAATGTAGTAAAGGCAAAAGAGAGATACAGACTCGAGGAAATAGTGCATGATAGTAAATTCAAGTAATATTCAAAGTAAATACTAATATCTCAGCAGATCACTTTTAGCGCACTTTAGGTGGCGAATTCTTATCCGGTAAAATCATTATGCTGCATCAAGAATATAGTCAGGAGTCCTTCAAACCATGTATTATAGATAAAAGAATTGAGTGAAATCTATAGGAACTCAAATGAAATCACTCAGAAGTAAAACAGCACAAATAATACGATAGATTATGTCTAGGAAAATTCACTATCGAGATATTAGCGGTTAGGAACGAATACCGTATTGAATATGAAGTAAATTAAGATTGATTACTAATTTAGTGTCTGTAACATTACTACGGCTATAAACACGAAATTTATCTCGATGCTTTTAGAAACTCTTACAATTTTTCAATTATTAAATCGAATAGTTTGCCAATCAAATGCAAATTTAAAAAATCCAAGTTCATAAATCAGGGCTCAGTGTTTATCATTTAAAAATACACGGCAATAAGTGGCTGCAATAAAAGGAAAAAATGATTAAGAAGTGGGAGTTTATTTGAATTTTGTAGGGCTACGTATCATAACGGCCATAATTTGTCACGTAAATTTATTACATGTTAATTAAATGATTAATCAATTGAAAGATAAAACTTAAATTTTCGAAAAAAAATTATCAGTTAGGGATCAGCGTTCGTCTTCTAAAGATGCAGAGCGCATTATAAGAGGGAAAATGATTAGGGATTGAAATTTCAAATATGCCGAGTAATTTATGGCCGTAAAATTTATTCTTTATATAGTTTTATTTTGTAATTAGTGAGGATTGATCAGTCAGACGAAAAGTCTAAAATTTAATAGATATAAGTACTCATTGAAGAAAAATGTGCTGTAGTTGATTGCTACACTAAGAAGGAAAAATGATTTAAGAATTAATACAAGGTGTGTCAAGCAATACTCTATATCGCGATAGCAATATACAGTAGTAATAGTATGTTGGATTTAATTCTACATATATATAAGAATTTATATTATATTAAATGAGTAATTAATGATTAATCACACAGAAATTTTCAACTTTGCAGAGATAAATTGAAACTCAATATGTTTCATTTAATAATGTGCTGTAATGTAGAACTACAATCAGAAGAAGGAATAGGTTTAGAAGCTAATTTGAAACACATCGAGCAAATTATCGTTATGATAACTATTTTGATTTAATTTTATTTCAGTCTATTAATCTATTACAACCAGTTTTTTATTCTGACTGTAAGAAATGATATTGGACTGTAATCTATCGGCAAAGGGCATGACAGATGGTGGATCCCGGAATGAGAATAAAATTGAACTGCTATTGATATGCGTGCGCACAGAAACATTCTCACTTAATATCCATAAAATTTGCTTGAATTCCAGTAAATATTATTAAAAATAAGGAAAATTAGATATTAATTCCACTTGAAGATAATAAAAAGTGCTGGTCCTAACTATCATAGTATTATTAATATTGTTATCATCATTGGTAATGGACCATTAAGAATCACTTCTTAATATAATGGATTAATTAATATTTCATTTAGCTATGCTATCTATTCATAGATTTTTATTATAATTAAAAATTTTAAATAATATGTTGACTAAAATTAGGAAATAGCATGAAAGTAAACAACTACGGTATATGAAAAGTTGGACACATGGTTATAAATGTTGTAATTCAATCTTATTTTGAGTATCTGAATGATTTAAGACGACGCCATTATCGTATTTCATATTTTGCTATAGTATACACGTACAACGATGATAGAAGGCTAGAAATTTTCAAACCTAAATATCAATATGATCCGTAAGTTTTAGAGAATTTCCACAGTCTAATTAGCCACAGTTTCTGAATACGAACCAATAGATTGCTTCCATATGAGTTTATACGATGATCAATTTCGTACCATAGTCAATATAGAACTTTCCTTTACTTCGTCGTTGACTTCAGCTAAAAAAGGATTAAACTAACACTGCAAGAATCATTTTTAAGAAATTGCAAATGGAAGTGCTTCTCCATTGTTTATTCTTCACAAATACTTTTTTGATATAATTTGAATAAGTAACAAAGTTCTATATTTGATTTTAGATGATTAAACAACTTTAACCATATTCATTATTACGCCGATCTTCGCTTAAAGCTATATCAAATATCTACGGTACGCGTATGCGAAAACTTATATTTAGAGTATGTAATGTTTCAAAATTTTCAATAGTATTGCATTTCTGCTTTATGCTCACATTTAATAAAACTAGTAAAAAATTTGTCTTGACGTGCAGGTACTGCAACTTTGCATTAACAGACTGAACTAAATTAGAGAATATCGCTGTAATTAAGATGGTAATAGCAGATAAGATAGTTACCTAGCATAACACGTACTTTTTAAAATTAATAAAATAAAAATTATCCTCAATATTCCAGCTATTTTCAATTAAATAACTTGAAACGCATGACATAGAAACTGAACTAGTATTATTCATTCAAAATTTTTCAAAATACTGGGTAAGTAATTAAAATACGAATGCAATAAACTTAATAGGATTGCTATAGGGGGACAGTATGACGTAGCATCCACTCACTTCCTATTTATACAGCGTAAGCATGTCTAAGCTAAGGCGTCCATTACAAGCTATATGAAATACATCTCAGACGATTCCGTACCGCAAGACGCCCTTCAAAATGTGTAGCCACGGATTAGTAGTGATTACGGGACATAAGCAGTAGCCTGTACTTACTATATGATGGTATAACCCATAGCCTTTATTTGAAATTGGAGCAATATTGGGATGCTACAGAAGGTTGATGAAATTTTGAATACCCAATTTTAAAACATATTTAAATTGTCTTGAAACATAATTTATTAAGATTGTACATTTTAATTAAATTTTAAACTATTTATTGATGGCAATTACTTTCTACTAGCTATATTGAACGCAAATGATAGGAAGTATATGATTCATTTTCAGTAGTCACAACCCAGCTATACCCTCTTACGGTACGATATGAAACGGCGTAGTGACACTGATAATAGTGAAATCGTAGAGTTTATTTGCATTTTACGATATTTTAATGACATTGTTGTGTGATATAATAAACAATTCCGTTATGAAAATGGGTTGCGTGGATATGTACTACTTTGCACGCACCATTGAACGCGGCGTAAATAGTTTTACTTTATTAGCTGCCGGTCCAGCTGAAATGTTTAATGCAATATTTCTGTCAACGAAGCGATAAGATGTTGTGCAACTTGTGCTAGTAATGCTAAATCTTAAACTTACGCTTGCCGACGAGTTATCGCTAGGACGCTAGTAGTATATGTATCACGGGCAGTCGTAATGCACTCATAAGCAAATCTATTCTATCTACCAATTCTACAAATAGGTTAGGTGCTATCAATAACTAGAAATATAGCTTCGTATCCATTCTTGTATCGTTCAGACTATACAAATATTACAAAGGCAATGAATCAGTTTGCAGCACACTAACAGATCCGATCGTTACCATTTATTTAAATACCTGTTATTTTACAATAACGCCAATAAAAAAATTTATCATGTCTTCTTCCTCTCATAATACAATTATGTTACTAAAAATATTGAAACAAGTTGATGGATGACAAATTTCTCCATTAGAATTATATTACAGTAGAAATATTGGAACAACTTGGGCATTCACTGTCATGCTTAAATTGATAGATTCTGAAGTCTAGGAAAAGGGTATTTCAATGACAATTCATTGCCTGTAAATGTATACTGTACAGTGTAAATGCTACAATACACGTATACAAACATTACAAAAGGATCATACTTTAATGTCTGTAAAAGCAAGTACTTTGATATTAAGTTCTACAATTAGTTCGATGGTAGGAGCAGGATGTGAAATTCGAGATTTACACGAATAAGAATAATAAAACTTAGGAATACATAGAAATTTACCCTTACAACGTATCATTGGTGTATATGATTACAATTTTATAGCATTGCTGCTTTGCCTAACGGTTATTCATTGCATATTTACAGGTAAAGTCGCTTATTACACAAGCTCATGAGGTCATGAGCAAATATCTGCGTCAATTTGAAAATCAAAGACATGTAAGGTAATTACTAAGAGATAAAGGAAGAAGGAGCGCACTTCCTACATATCTTCAGTGCTCCATTTATAGGCCTCGTGCTGGAGGGATTTCTTTTCATTGATTATCTTGAATCTTCGGCCTTCAAAACCGTTTGATCTATCAACACCATCCCATCTATATCCTGGCATTATATTGAATCTATTTGGTGGAGGTAAAGGCCCTTTGTATTTTGGCTTTTCTGTGATAAAATTTGATAGGCAAGTAAGATGAAGCATCAATTAGGGTTCCAGTAGAATCATAGCATTTTCAAGTTTTCATGAATATCAGCACTAATTGCATTATCGTATATTTTCTACTTATATATTAACACTAATAAAGAGGGTTGTAACCTTTAATTTTGCCTCCTAGACGTTTATTTTTCTTCTTTTTGATGTAATCTAACATTGGATCTCCATCTCTTTCGGCCTCACGTTGTTGTTGATCTAAATCTGCATCATCTGCATATCTAGCGAAAGGTTTGTTTATTTCGTGCGCAGCATCGGCAAGTTTTTCTTCAGCTAATTTTTTTTGTGTCATGCTGCATACATGTTAACGCAAGAATAGTATTAGCGGTTCAACACCGACATTTATCAGTCTTTTTATATGGCATCAACAGTATCAACTACAGTACTATCATATTAATACAATTAAGAGCAGGAAGTACCCTTTTCCCCATTCCATAAATTTTTCCTCTTCTTCTTCCCTTTTACGACGTTCTTCTCTCATTTGGAGTCTTTCCTTTTTTATATCACGTATCTTGCCATGCTTGTCCCTGTAAGTCGTCTTAGCTCCTTTACCACTTACTGTGGCATCCATTTCATCAAATTGTTTATCTTCTAATTTACGCCTAAATTCATTTTCTTCTTTCAATACTGTTGCTGATTGAAGTCCAGCCTTTTTGGTAATTGTTGGTTTAGAATCTTGATTCATTTTCTGCACCTGATATAACGGTAAAATATAATTAATATTAAGTACATGCTTGCATCCAGGTATGGGCAGTGCTGTACTTAGTGTTATCGCAGCAGATCAGAAAATATTGGGTATACCTCTATCTTTGAGTTTACCTAATACTGTATAACTTTTTGTATGGTAGTGACTCAGAATAAAATTATGTTCAGGCATGCAGAAATAGAGATGGTACAGTATAGTTGGTTACAATCAGGGACTTCTTATAAGAGGAGAGTCACTGGTGCAATTTGGTGCGGGTTTAGCTAGTATAAAGTACAGCATTCTACTATACTGTCCATCACGGGGATAGCCAAGTGTTGTATTGGTGTTCAACGTTCGAATCAATTCGAAAAGATAGAATTCCGTACGACAGGCGACTGCAGGCAATACTACACCCTTTGTAGACATCATTGCATGATATATTAATTCTACAGGCTCGTCGAGCGATATAATGAACTTTTTAACTGAATACTTTTTCGAGTGATTGATTACCTATTCGTACCCTGAGTGCATTGGGATATTAGTTACTAGAGGAGTTAACCGTCACAAAAAGGAAATTTATTACAGATATCTAGCTAAATAATTCTTTCATTACCGTTGACAGCCTAGAACTTTGTAGTTCTACTGATTTTCTATCAGCATTTTTCCTTCGAGGTGGTGATAGATCGGGTGAGTCACGACCAGCTTTCCTGCGAGGTGATGATAGATCAGGTGAATCATGGCGTCCTCTCCTACGAGGTCGTGATAGATCAGGTGAATCATGACGGCCTCTTCTACGAGGTGGTGATAGATCAGGTGAATCATGACGGCCTCTTCTACGAGGTGGTGTTAGATCAGGCGAATCATGCCGTCCTTTCCTACGAGGAGGTGATAGATCAGGTGAATCTTGACGTTGTTTCCTTCGAGGAGGCGATAAATCCGGTGAATCATGACGTCCTTTCCTACGAGGGGATAAATCTGGTGAATCATGACGTCCTTGCCTACGAGGAGGTGATAGATCTGGTGAATCATGACGTCCTCGCCTACGAGGAGGTGATAGATCTGGTGCATCATAGTGTCCTTTCCTAAGTGGAAGTGATAGATCTGGTGAATCGTGGCGTCCTTTCCTACGAGGGGGTGATAGATCCGATGAATCATGGCGTCCTTTCCTACGAGGAGGTGATAGTTCCGGTGAGCCATGACGTTCTTTCCTACGAGGGGGTGATCTATCTGGTGAATCATGATATCCTTTTCTGGGGGGTGATAAATCAGGGGAATCACGTTGTAGAGTTTTAGGACGAAGCGATTGATTCGATGTATCATGCTTCATTTTTCTTCTCGGTATTGTCGAAAAATCTTTACCAGATTTTCGTAAACTATTAACGTTTTGGTATTTTCTATCAGTAGTTAATGGATTTTCATTTTCTGATGGTATATAAACAATACATCAATCAGCATTTAGCAACCTATGATGTGATGCTATCAAGATTTAATTGAAGATTTAACTTGCTTCGTTGCATACTAATTTGAAGCATACGATCAATCGTTTCTGCAGAGTTGCAGGGTAACTTTCAGTCAAGCAGTAAATATAAGTGCACTAAAGAAAGTCTGTTGATCTTTCCGCATATAGCTGCAACTAATGTATGGTACAACGTAAGAAGTATAGAATCATATCATGTCATGCTTAGATGTAGCTTATTATATAATTATCAAAAGGCTAAGTTAATTAATAATTTATTAATTTTAAGAGGAACATTAGAGTATTACTAGTGCAGTCAAACTTTGTATTATAATGTTGTAGTGCAGGATTAATTTAGCTTTTTAGCTAGGATGATCTGAGTTTTAGTCTAATCGCATTTAGTTAATACTATTCACGCACTGATGTACTGAGCGAGGGTACATTAGGCCACCCCAGCTAGCAAAAGCCTACTACTACGTGTCGCTGGAACAGCTCTATCCGTTCTCTTGTCCCTACTAAGCCTAATATCAAGGTTTCATACAGTTTTATTAAGATGATGGCTCTAGAAATTGCTTTATGTTGTGCAGACTAGAGACCGTACCCTGTTAGTGCAGACCTGACGCAGCAGACATGAAATGATCTGAGCGCATCGTCCAGGTCCAGGATAAATATTGTATGACCTCTAGTTGGTACGCATCTTTAAAGTATGTATGAATTTCACTCAGTAACATTGAATTGCATTGTCGACAAATTTATAAATTAGGGGAGGAGATTAAGTTACCTAGCGATGTCAATTGCTTTCCACCATTTTCATCTTTCATCGGCCTCCATTTATCACCTTGCCTCCAATATTTATTAGGATCCGGCTTGATTTCATCCATATCGACAACCGTTGGCGCATCATCCATAACATCTTCGATATCTTCTTGGTTTGCATCACCGGCAGTAGTTCGCTTCCAGTCAGAATCGTCATCAATTATCTTGCAACGATTATTGTTTCCCTTAGCTACATTTTTCTTTTTCTTACTCTTTTTTCCATCTTTACCGTAATTTTTACTTAAATATTTCTTCAGATAATCAGCATTACTCATGATTGCTTTCCAAATTGCGAACTTTACTCCATTCGAATCTTGTGAATCGACGGAATGACCGATGACCATGCTGGTAGGGGTTTTCATTTCCAGCATTTACTGACTGGCAGTAGTATCAAAATCGATGCTATGTTTGGGTATCTAGGCTATGCTATCACATCCGTGGAAACACCGTACTGTACTGTGCTCAATCTGTTGCTGTACCGTACAGAATGTACAGTGTACAGTATGTACAGTACTGTACAGTACTTTTCACGGTGATCAACTCATGTACTGTACAGTACAGTACACTGTAATGTATAGACTATTACAGTACTGGAGACCACACGAGCACAATACAGTACAGTACAGTATACTGTACAGTACAGTACAGTAGTACTGTATGGTGTACAGCATGTTAACATTGGCTTTAGAATATAAGAATTCTATTTAAATGCTGTTATCAATATCAAAACTGTATCGATTTGATACCAGCATGTAGCTAATGAGCTGAAAATTCTATATTAGTTAGTAAAAGTAAATTTTAAATGACACTTGAATCATTATATCTACATAAACTTATGGAATTGCTACAGTACATAGTAAAATCTGCTACCATACGAGTACAGTACAGTACTGTACAGTACAGTATACTGTACTGTAATATGGTGTACAGTACAATGCCATGATAAAGTACTGTAGACTGCACACTGTACACTCAAGGATACACTACTGTACACTGTACAGTACTGAAAATCTGTTGGAAACACTATTCTCCCTTGCGTCTAGTATAGGCAATTTCTGTCATCATACCCGGTAGTACAGCCGTTGTTACACCTGAATACTTTACCTACAGTACAGTGTTCAGTATTGGATATGTACTGTATTACTATATGTCAAGATCAATGAACTGGCTATAGTAAAGATCTAGGTAGCTTCGATACTGTCTGACGATGAATACTAGGCGATAGTAAAATATCGATATTAAAATCATTTCTTTCCTCTCTTTACTGTAACTGTCATATAGAAAATCTCAATAATTTGAAGTCTTTTCTTGCTCTATTTTCATTATTGGTATACTGTATCAATGTTATTGACATTTTTATAGTAAAGTAAACTAAAATACTTGCTGACAACCACCATCCACGATACACGACAGTACAGCGCTAGCGACATTGTTAGGTATTACCGTAAATCGACAATAACTAAAAGCAAACTGGTTAACTGTACCAGTATGGAATCCAATTCTGATTGGAGGTCGATTGAGTACCGCCGCCTAATGGTCCATCGAATGTAGGTTGACAAGAGTGATGCAATAACGTACTTCCATCAATATTTGCTAATTCTATCGTTATGATTGTTTGTTATGCACAACCTGATAAAGTCATTATGGTAAAATTATATGCGTACTGTCGAAACGCCTTGAATAACTTGAACTTACCTGCTTCTAGAGTACCAATATGCACAGTATAGTTGTCAGTTGCTATTCCATTACTTTGCATCAACAGTATTTACAACATCAATAAATGCTGAATACGCGTATATTCGTATATCAATTCTCATCGTTAAGATGATGTGAAATGGTAACGCCCATAATAACAGGATCAGCTAATTCGGTATAGAACACGTACAGTACATATACAGTATATCAACTGTTAACGTACGAATATCATAGTGGTAATTTTCTTTTTCTACGTTTTAGTAATCAGGTCCTTATTATACATGAAAGCCCAATTCGGAATGCAAGCCAAATTGAACACTATCTCTACTCCCTCTCTCATAATGAGGTTCGTCAATGCTTTCCGAAATCATTTAAAATTATGTTCCATTTGTCTTGATGCACTATATGAAATTTGATAAACAAAGCGAATTATTGAATTGACTTATAAAATCCGTTTTACAACTTGATAGGAAATTTACTTACGCCTTATCGTACGACTACTACGGCATATCGAAACTCGTAGTAAGTTGATACGTAATTTTAGAAGTTTAGCTTGCATTAAATAAATTTAATGTGTACATTTTTTTCAATAATTATAATGTATTATTGCTTATTACTAGTTCGTTTTAGTATGACGTCTAAAAGTTGTAAAAGCCCTTAAAGTAATACTATCATCACATTGTTAGCCTCAAAAATGATATTACAACAGTATATGTTAACGTTTTTCCTTTCCTGTTAATTAAGTAAACTTGAGAATATTCTTATTTTATGTTTATTAAAGTACAACTGTAAATTATGGTGCTTTCAATACTTGATAGGTAGGATAGCAGCAGCAGCATAATATATGCATAACGGATACATTGAATGTAAAAGTCGATATCACTAAATGGAAATAGATAAGCTCATCGTATCAGCTATCCGAAGCAATTTAATATTGATTAATATGTCAATGCCTAAGGCAGTGTAATACTATATTCGATTTGTAAACGTAAATGTTGCAAGCAACAAGTATCTATGGATCTAATGGTCTTGAATGTACAAGGATTAAAATATGATGATAATCATGCTAAGCATACTCATTTTAATTTGTTTGATGGCTAGGATTTAGGGATTACATCTCTGAAATTAGCTTGGATAAATTATTAATTCCTTCAACAGATCACTTTCAATATTCTGTATTACGATTGATTTAATGGTTTGAATGGTACAGTCGTTAATTGTATTTAACATTTTGCAATGATAAATGAGGATAATATTGAATCATATAATGATATTCTAGCACATAAATTGATATTTCGGCTATTGCAAATGGTAGCCTTTCTGTACAGAATAAACATGTAGTAAGTACAATTTAACAGTAATTACACGTACAATGAATTTCTTGTTACGTGAAAACCTTGCATTTTCGACAATTTTAAAGCATGTCTTTCCATATACCACAATATAGCTATGACAAAATTCATGTAAACGAGTTCATATTAGCTTATCTTCCCATGGGAAATCATATCTTTTTACAATTTGAGACAAGTAATCTATGTAAGTGTGCAATGTCGTTTTATTGCCAATCTCAAAATCTTCAGCGATTATGAGTTTGTAATTAATCTTTCCAACGATGGCCACAGCTGCAACACTTATAAAATACTGTCATTGGTTCATCAGCTGAGCGGGTTTGTATTTGCATGAAAAAGGCTTGGTTGTGATCACATTTAGGGCATGTAGCTAGAATTAAAGTGAGTAATCATAAAATCAGTTTTTTGATTATCATTAAGAATGATGTCAATTTTAGATTCTGGCAGGATCATAGCTATAATACATAGTAACAAATGCAATTATATAAAATACCGCATCAAACATTCGATAAAAATTAAATTTAATATCATAAAATGTCATGCTGGTGAAAATTACACAATTTATAGCAACTTCGAATCTTACTCTATCAAAAGTAACAGCATTAAATAAATTAATAGCTAATATAGCAACCTTCGGTAGAATCGACATTTTCCCAAGCTGCTTTGCCACCAAGGATATCATCAACTTGTTTCAATTTTGGATAATTTCTGCTAGCAATCTACAATAGTTCAAATTGGAATGTAAACGGTAACGTGAAAATTGTAGCACTATAAATGCTAAACATTACGAGTGTGTGTTTTCGTAATAATGCAGTAAATACGATATCTTGGTCGTATCCTACTTTTACAACAGTATAGTGTACAGCCTTATGAGAAGAGTTTACTACCTATTGATAGATGGTTTATAATACGGTGTAAATAACATCTCAAGATTATGCAATTATAAGCGATGTTGTTCGCAGTAAGCGTATACTCCATCATCACTACGACGTGTTACTGCCAATGATTCCATCCTAATCATTAACATACTGATGGGAACTACTCCGTTCTACTTCTTTGCTTTGGTTGAGCAGTCTTAGCTATTATACAAGTATTGTACAGTAGGCTATAAACAACAGAGTGGTACAGCAAAATATAAAGGCGACATGATATAGTATCTCGTACATTGGCACATCATCAACATAAATACACTTACCGTTTTAGTTACTTTGTAGAGGTAAGGGCAGGTATGGCAAAGAAATACAAGGCACTCGCCTTGCTTTTCCATATATAAAGCATTAGCACAATTAGGACAAAAGAAGAGCATATTCTACCGATGATTTAAACTCACAGTTAATTCAGTGCGAATGTTATCAACTCTATTACTTCAGTTATATAGCTCGGAACGTTAAGTGCTACTGTAGGTCTGAGGAAACCAACGATGGCTGAAAATTGTACAGAAGACCGTTGACTATTGAGTGCATAGAGGTAAAGTACGCTCGTATAACTGCTATTGTATTTACGCAACTATATTCTCAAATTATTCCTACTAGCTTATTTGACGAATTAGCGTTAATGTTTGTTCTTATCATACAAGGAAATGCTTCTAGTTCTACCTATTGCTGAAAAGATTAAAGTACATCAAATTCATCTTCATCGCGAAAAATCGGAGTAATCAATGCTTGAACCTGATCTGCACTACGAGTATGCAATTGGGCTTTACGTTACTGTATAGTGTACAGTGGTGCACGGACGGCCGCTACGGTGGTATACAGCATAGTATAGTACCGGACGACTGTGCACTGTGCAGTACTATACTTTATATTCAGAGTTCCATGACAGTACTGTACAGTACTGCTACAGCGTACTGATAGTGCACCAATATAAGGTTCATTATAGTCTTATTTTCACGAAACAATTTATTGAAGTAAATAGAATCATCAAATTGAGTTTTATCAGGCATGTTCCTTAAATTCAAATTAAACCTAGGTAAAACATTTTTGTCTAGGGAATGATGACTTTAAAATACTCTTACAATATGTGTCCTCCAATTTAAGGCCGTTTTAACCGCTAGTAGACCGCAAAAGATTTTACAAATTACGCTAGGGTAGAAACGCGTATTTAACTTTCTAATAACGATATAATTTATTTATTTATAATGAACGATATTACAATTTGCTAGTTTGTACGTCTTTACCAGATGAACAAATTATAAACAATTATAAGTCATGGTTCTAGCATAAAAATCACACGAAACGTACTTTTCAAGTCATTCTATCTAGCAATAAGGTTTAGACACACTGATAAAACTTTCAAAGTATCAGTCTGCTCTCGATTAGATATTTCTATGACGATCAGTGGACATAGTCAATTCAAAAGTGGTACTGCATCAACTAGGAAACAATTCCTAAATTAATCCATTTAAATACTCAACTACATTCAATGAATTGAGAATTTCCTACTTAACTATCAGTAAGAAATAACACTATTCTTTCAGTACAACAACTACAATTATTTCCAAATTGTGGAAAGCTCTATCAAGTAATTAGAGGCAAGATATGCAATATGGTAATAATTATATTTATTTCTTATGACCTTCACGTCAAAAGTTATGATAGTGATCATTTCCTATGATGATAACCAAATCTACTATAAAATAAAGCGTAATTATCAATGCTACTCGGTATCAGCATTCTCCGGACGAAGTTCCCTCTGGAATGTCTGTTTATGATGTGCTAAAATGCGCATAAGTGGCCTCAATCTCATCCACCATTGCTGTTTCGGAATTCGTTTGCTGATAATACGTATCAAAAAGAATAAGTAAGACATTACTCTTTACTTTACAAATTGACAGTAGCAACTAGTAAAGGGCGGAAAGAGGCTTACTCGAAATCTGCAACTGCCATCAGATCTGTAACAGGAGATATTCTTAAACTCCTGTTTTGTGAGCCTACGAGAGCCACGGTAGATGGATGTGAAGCATTCATTACCCCTAAAATATACATGGATCATTTTATTCGATTTATGATGTAGACATGCAAAACTTAAAATTACTATAATAATAAACCATAGTATACGTATATCTTTATTACCATCGCCGCGAATGTTGTTCTTGATTTCTCGAATCAGGAATGACGTAGCAGCATAAGCAAATCTTGAACTCAGAACTCTATCAAATGGTGATGGATATCCGCCCTACAATTTCGATAACTGTGTTAGATACAATCACTATCCACAATAGAAGCCTTCTTATTTGTTCCATTTTTCGTACCTGTTGGACGTGTCCTAAAACATTCTTCCTTGTCGTAAAGTATTCCTTTCCTTCATCTGCAAATAATCTTGTGATGAAATCAGTGTCGTAGTTACGGCTGCAGAATTCATTCCTATAGTGGGGGATCAGAAATTGTACTATAGCTATATTATTCTAATTCTAAAATGTATTAAGAATTTTTACATTGAGGAGAAGGCTTCATCACAATAGAGCTTACGTTAACAATAATCCCCGATGGATTTTATCCTGTTTGAATTTTGCAATCATGTGCGCGACATCACCCTATATCATAAATTAATACTGTGACAAACTGACTAAGAGATTTATACCGTACATGCACTACCTAAGAAAGCATAAATTAGTGTAGCGATTCAGTATATACATACCTGAAGATCATTAATATTATATTTTTCTTCAAAAATATAAGCAGCATCAGCACCACTAGCGAGACCTGCCATGGTCGCCAAATAGCCGCAATTTCCTCCCATTGTCTCAACTACAAATACGCGATGATTTGCAGCAGTGGCTGATTGCCGAATTCTGTCTGAAGCCTAATCGTCCAATAATTAATTATACATTACCTTTCACAAATTAAAGAAACATCCGAATAATGTTAACAACGATAGCAAACCTCGACAATAACATTAAGTGATGTATCAGTTCCAAGTGAATAATCGGTTCCTGGTACATTATTACTTAATGTTGCAGGAATGACAATTATCGGAATTGCAAACGCTTCGAACGTATTTCGAGCCTCCAGTAGCTGAGTAGCACTCTTAAATGCCTGTTTAAAAGTAATATTACGAAATACGAATAAGCAATTAAATGGATAACGTTAGGAATGAGATAAGATTTGGTACCTCAAATCCACCGATAATGACAAGACCATGAAATTTATACTTTTTAAAGCCGGCTGCAATCTTTTCCATGTTAACACTCGGTAGTGTTCTGTAAAATGGAGTGCAATTGAAAAGTTGCCTTTAATGCATCTGAATGAATTGAACATAGACTTTCAAGATTTTGATATGCCTATATTACCGTTTTGTACCAATATCACAACCACCTTTAGCGATCCAATCGTGAACTGTTACCCATTCCATTTTTTGTACGTTGTCCTATTTACAATTTTTCATAGTTTATGTTTTCTTTATTAATGTCGGAATACTAAATCAATGATAGAAGACATACCGTATCAGATAAGAGGCCTTCAAATCCGTCTCGTATACAAAATACTTCGTGTCCTTGATTGATAGACAGTCGTGTCACACTTCTAATAGCGGCGTTCATTCCTGCAGCTGGAGCACCAACAGCCATGATGCATATGCGGAATTTCTAAAAGCGTTCAAAGTAATGATATATAGTCATTAGCCATTTATAGCAAAGATAACTATCAATTAGAATTAATTCAATTTTAATGTAATTAATCATGATATTGTTGCTCACTTGGTCGCAGGGTATTGGGCTGTAATAGTTACAACCTTTAAATATCGACAAAGTGTTTCCAAAATTTCTAATCATACGACAATAAGATTAACACTCGATAAAAAAATTAGACTTTTAGAACAAGGATTGAACAACCAAGTGAAGTTTTCTTTACCGTAAATCTAACGCGGCTTCGAAATTATGTTCATCCATCGCTTTAGCCAAGTTGCGAGTCTAGTATATAATATGATTTTGCAATATCTATTATTAGCAACTAAAAGTCTGTAACACAAGTAAGATATTTACGAAACATATAGTTTAGTTAACTTTTCATATAAACTCTGTTCTACCTTTTCGACACACTCCATTAAAGGTACCCTAATCATGTCATTCCCCTGCAATCCGATGACGAAAGGAGTAGTATCGACTGTTGATTCGAGTAACGACAGTACAGCTTCAGCACCCATGCGACATCCCTGTAGACAGAAGTTTAGAAATAAGTCATACAAGAATTTTCGAGCGTATTTATATGATATTGTGCTGTATATTTCGATTGTACTTACTAAAATCCTATCAAACGCAGAGGGTGATCCACCCCTCTGAACATGTCCTAAAACAGTGATACGCGTATCTTGTTGTGCATATTTTACCAAGATCTATAATATAACAGGAGTTGTTTACGTTTTATTAAATATTGGTTGCAAGCATTGAGTAATATATAAATATTAATAAGTATTACGATGTACCTGTTTGACTTGCTCCGCTGTGATAGCATTTCCATGAATATCTACTGCACCTTCAGCTAAAACAATAATATTGAGGCGATTTCCAACATTTCTGGCCTATGAGTTAGTAAATTAAACTTACAATAATTACAAGTTCTAAATTAGCACTAGTTCAACAAGTTCCCCCAATTCTAAGCATGACGTACTGCTTTCAATTGAGCACACATGCGTTCTTCCCATCCATCTTCAGGCGGAACTTCGGGTATAAAAATCTAATGTCAATTTGAATTATGAGGACTTTAATTTATTTTTACCACCGCAATTAGTTTTAACAGAGTTGATCTGTATATATACGATACATGAAAATAAGTATTGTTTGAATTACCCAGTCCGCTCCAATAGCGAGTCCGGAGATTAGAGCTAGGTAGCTGATAATTAAGTTAATTCATTAAAGTACATTGAATTAATGTGTATCATGATGCTTCGACACAGTTTCACTCCTAGTATTGGACATATATGTATTTACCCACAGCGCCTTCCCATCACTTCAAGAACAAATGTCCTACGATGGCTATTCAACGATAAATAGTCGACAGTTATCGAATGTATTCAACCGAAGTTAAGGAATTGAGCATACCTTGAAGCGGTAGTGATAATTGCATTTGCGCACTCAAGAATCCTGGATAGCGTATTATTGATTTAGATAACAAAGTTAGATTAGTGAGTTGATAATATCCGACTTAATAAGTTTACATGCAATCAGAAAGAATATTTCTAAAAAGTATACACATAGACTATATACAATAATCTTAAATTGCAAAATGAAATTACCTATGCAAAGCAGAGTCGGCACCAATGGTCATCTTGGTACCACAAAAATCGTTATCTATCGAGCCAACCTAGATATACACGTACATGTAATGTAAGGCAAGAGTATTGTTTTGGAGGAGTATACAAGTAAGCACAGGACGGTATCATTGTTTAAAATTTCGTTAATATTTTACTACTGTAAATAGAAATTTTGTATCTAGTGATTGAATATGCTATAAAATTGAAACGTAATTACGTTAATTATATAAATTCTTAATTACCAGACCAACGATATTTAATACAGGATATTCAATTAGGCTGTTTTCAGGTATTTCACCTAGCAATTATACAGTAGTAGTAAAGAGTAATAGCTTTTAAGAAGATTTATCTTTATCAACTTTGTTGTCAAGTAGTAATGGGAATAAATAAAAATTTAATGATACTTTTACCTCTTTCAATTAATATCGTCAACAGTTCTGTCCATTCCCGTCGAAAAAGGTTTGCTCCAGTAAGACTACCATCGCCACCGATGACCATCTGCAGATAGGGTATACATCATCACTACGAGTAAGATCGTTTACAAGCAATACTAAACGATACACGCGAATGAAGTACTTACTAAATTACTGATGCCCCTACCAACAAGATTTTTAGCTGCTTTGATTCTGCCTTCTTTTGCTCTAAATTCCTGACATCGGGCAGTTCCAATGATTGTTCCCCCCTTTAGAATGAGTACAATAAGAAACTGTTACGTAGGGTACACAGGATAAATCATTGCTAGATTATAGTTAGTCAGTATCAGGCTAGCGTGATTAGCGTAAACATGCCTTGTGTATTATTCCAGACACATTAGACCATGTCATTTCTTTAATGAAATCTTCTCCTTCAACTAAGCCTTGATAACCCTAGTATCAAGTATTTTGATATAAAAATAATGGAATGTACCTAAAAGGACCTGAAAGACTAGGTTTGTTCCTAAATCTTCCAAGTTAAGCATGATATCTATAGCAAATAATGCACTAAGCGTTATTAATTGTATTTTACGTTACCTCATGTACTGCAAAGACACGAGCATCATTATAAATAGCCATTCGCACCGCTGCTCTAACTGCTGCATTCATACCTAAAGAATGAAAATATAAAATAATATATACATACCCCACTATAAAATATCTGAAACGGAAGTAGTTACTACGCTATAACTATACTGCGAAGCAAAGGATGAACTAATGTTTTCGCAAGCTTAATTTACAAGAAGATAGAAAAAATAGCAACTATTCAAAAATACGAATTATTTAGCAGTAAAAATTATACTAAAATTGATATCTTTCCGTTTTTAATGCAAGTTTACAAACGAATATACCCCTGATGTTATGTAAATTCTTTTCTTCGTACGTCAGTACTGTACTTGAAACTAAGATTGAGTGTTTATAATAATATAATTGTACACTGTACGTATATGTATGTATATGTAATCAGGTCAGGTATTTTGAGTATGAGAAGAAGAAAATTTCACACTTTAGACTTTTCAATGAATATGAAATAATAACATCGACACTCGTTATCGAATTTAATGGTTCTAAAGACATCATACGGGTATAAACTTATACCGAGACAAGGACTACCAAATGAAGCTCTAACGTGCCTTGATTCAAGTTTAAAATGATTATAATTATCGGTAATCCTCGTATACAAATTTAATCTAGTTTTGTTCATTAAATAATGAATGATGCTTACTGTATATAATTGTCTGTAATAACAGCATCTATTTATCAATACGATTATAGTTGTGCAGTCTGCACGTGGATAAATAATACATATGAAATAGTAATCATAGCAACGATGAATTTCAACGCATTTTAAGATACAGATAGGAGTATTTTACTTATTCTGGTAACGAATATTCTACCGTGCATCACATGCATTACAGCTGATCAATGCAACTAACTCTAATGCCGACGTCATGGCAGGGAGGTACTGAACATCAAAATCTGTTTAACAAACTGACTAGGGTTGTAACTGCAGTTTAGAACCTTTTAAGATTGTTTCAACGAATGCGCAATATTGACGTCTAGAGTAAAGCTAATTTAGAATTCCTTGAATGCAAATGCCAACTTTTCAATTTCTTATTCTATTTTGTCAGCAACTCTTGAAAAACGAAATTCATACTGTAGACGTGGATAAAGTGAAGCAATGCAATTGTAGCCAACATAGGAGCGTCATCTCGCTGAAAGGCACAGTTGTAACGGTCAATGGCAAAAGCGATTACGAATTGATCGAATGGCGAATAACTAGTTCATCAATTAATTTATTGCAAAATGTATTCAATGCCTATACAGATTACAGTGGCCTATCAATAACAGACATGTAGAGTATGGATCTATTGGTAAGCAAAGCACTGTACCCTGAGCATCTCCACCACTAGTAATTACAGCAATGCATTTGGTAGGAGCATTCGACTTAGTGCCATGATCGCATTGCTGTTGATCTTCCCTTGTCTCCTTGCTCTCCATTTTGTATGATTTTACAAATCAATGTTTCTATTTTAATCGACGCAAGTTGTCCAGTACAGTACCAGCACCTGCTGCAGATAGCTCCAAATAACGCCGGTGTTGTCGTGACGTGACTTGTCTTTTGATCGATACTGCCCCTCTACAGTATTATGACAGTATTATTTGCAGTATGGTAAATACTGCTACTCATGGACTACTAGGAAAGACTAGTTCTTTCCTAGGAGTCCATACTGTACCGTACGCCAGCTGGAGTATTGTTATCCCAACTGTTTCACACTGCGCAGAATACGTGATCCAAGTTGAACCGCTACGTGACGGCATTGTTAAGGCTGTACTGACCATCGTCTTCTGCATTTAGTATATTACATCGGAGTGTCACTGCGAACTTCGACTACCCCGATTTTATGGCCACCATAAACTACAACCCTGCTGGAAAAACAAGCTAAATTACATCATTTTTGAAGCCTTGCATAGGATATTATACAGTATAGTATAGTGTACCCAGGAAAGGCAATATACATACTGTTGGATGTTAACCTACGACATTATACGTACAGTACTACGCAATATATGAATATGTAATAAGGGACTCGAGGCGAATTGAAATTTTTTACTCCTAGTCTCCTATCCTGTCACGATGTCCATCGGTACTGTAGACAGTGAGAAACTAGACAGTAGACAGTCTGCATTGTACTGTACACTGAGTGTACAGTACTGTATAAAAGACTGGTCTACCAAAGAAAGTCCCTGCAGTGCAGATAATTGTAATTTTATTTTAGGGAATTATTACGTAGCTGTACGTACTACTAGCAGGTTACGCATTTGATGCTAGTTATAGAAGACTACTGACTGCAGTGGCTTGTTTATCAGATTGAATCTCTTATCTTAGAATGTTCAGATGGCATCGGCCAATATAGTTCAATATATTGTCATCAGGAGTGACCTGACAACAGTCCTTGGATGGCCAACTGGTGCGTTACTGGCTCAAGCATGCCATGCATGTTCTGCTGCCTTGCATATCTTTCGCAACGAACCAACAACCATATCTTATATGGAAAATTTAGATAATATGCATAAAGTTGTTTTGGGGGTAAGTTAATGTACAGTACTGTATGCTAAGTTCTTTACAAAACCCAATACAGTAACTGCATATTGTACACAGTGTACAGTACTGTAGTACTTCAATACAGCAGTATGTTTATGATGGGCCGGAAATTACTGTACAGGAAGCACCTGCTGTATAATAGTCGCTACTGAAATAACCTACCACACATATAGATTTCATAGTGCTATGCTGAACTATGCTGTACAGTACAGTAACACAGTGCTCGGTTTTTTTTTTACCCTTGAAGTAAGGAGTAATAGATGAGCAATTGAGCTTATACAGTACTGTTCAGCGTACAGTAGATTACAAATTACAATCTACTTAATAACTTAATGTTATCAAATTTCAGTATCTTTGTTAACGATTATTACAAACCAAGGCTTGCAATAATAAACGACAGAAAATAGTCCACCTCAGTTATGTGACAAATATACTTTATTTCACTAAAAACTCACTTTAATTAATGTTGCTTCGATCATATACCGGCCCACTAGTGATGCGTAACTGGACTCTATTCTCAGATTTGATGAATTACATGGATAAATCTTGCCAGTAACTATAAATACTATACTGTACTATACGAAGATTATGTGCAATAATTTTTTATAGTATGATTATACCCGTATATACTATAAATAGCAAGCTAATAATTCGCCTGGTAGATATCCAGAAGTGGGATTCTACTCTATTATTATTAGGTAGATCACTTAGGCCTCCTTACATGCGTTATAATGTGGATCAATATGTTAATTAATACTACAGTATTTATGATCAAATTTGCATTTACAGTAGTGCAGTACTGTACAACCAAATAAGCTCTATTTGCATCTTATAATAATTATACTGTATTGTACTGTTACGATACAGTCCTGCTAATTTTCAACATTTTATCATGATAACATCATATATTTCAGCTACTTCATCGATACTTACAGTTAATCGTACAATCTTAAAGTACTTCGGAGTTCCATCATTTTAAAAGACTTAACGTAATTAGCACATACAGTAATTAAATACCGATACTATAATTATACAATTTATAATATGAGCTTTGCATAAATTTGAACTTACAAATTAGGTTAAGGATGAAGACACTTTGTTACGCTTAGCCGATAAATTGAAAGCCAACAATATAGATTATAAGATTTGGGTGGAACAACCAGAAAATATTTCCACTTGCATCGCAACTAGGCCTTACGTCAAGAGTGATGTTCAGAAGTATTTCAAGAAGTTTAAATTATTTGCGTAACTTCGCGGTGTTAAACAGCAATCGATGCCCTTCAATTCAAGGCTTGTACGATATGGCGTAATGCACATCATTGATTGTGAGGTTACAATCGACACTAGATTAAAACCATACCAGTAATATGTTATAGTCCTTAGTGAAAGAATCAAATAATAATTGTATACAATGAGACTGGAAGCATTTTATGTAAACGTCTTTCCACTACAAGTATTTGGGAACCGTATCGATCTTTTTAAAAATATTCTACCTTGGTTGTAGATGCTACCATTGCATACATGCACTGCTGCATCGTTATGGGTATTACTCAGACCTGTGGTATAAAGTGTAAAGCTGAACGTACTGTTGCAATCAGTTACTAGGAGATCCGGGCTGCATTAATTATAATTATAATTTAGTAATGTTTACCAAAATATGTTGCGAAGCCAACTAGTTATGGTCGTAATTTGTATAGTACTGCACAAAATTGATAACTACCTTGATGTTGGTGCATCATTCAATTTTGTTTGTCTAGATAAAGTGATTTATTGATCTTCTTGTATTTTGATAAATAAATTAATTATGTAATTACTCGTATGCCAGTTGTTAAAGTGGTAGGTAGACTTGCGAAATTGTTCATGCAAAAATTATAGGCAATTTATGTAAGAAGCGGGAACAACGAGATTTTCGTAAACTGATTGAATAAACTACTAGTTATGATTACACCCATTGACTATACTTGTAAATAAAATCGTGAAATCGTCGTGATTAGTAGTGCAAATTATGAGCAATATCTAAAACGTTGATGGCACTTTATGAACTAAATCTCCTCTAGCGGTAAATACTGCAAACCTATAGCAAATTTTGCGGTCGATTAATTAATTGTTCGTCATCATTCAATATAAGATGTGGTAAAGAAAGTAAACTGAACTTTCATACTTATCGACGTACTTGGTAAAAAGAAACTTGTAGCGTGTATAACCAACTAAGCAGCAACCATCAATAATTTAAAAAGTTGCAGTGTCTATTCTATTCCTAGTAGTGAAGTTGAAAATTATCCTACTGTTCCTAGTCGCATTCCCGCACGGCGCTACTTTGTGTAGTGCTCATTTGATTGTTCTTGCATGAGCAAGTTAGTAAATACTATATATAAAACGTACAAGGCCTTAGTATCTAAACAGGAATGTGTATGTTCAAATGTAGTAAATGCATATCTACTTTACTAGGCATAAGGTAAATTTAGTTAATTAAAGTATTAAAGCATAACCCTGGGAACAGATATCCCCTAGCATCCACCAAGAAGATTAAAAATCAGATCAAGGAGAGATCACGCGATGTAATGAAGTAAACACATAGCACTTTCGACTGTTTATTATTGCACAACTAGCAAATTCTGTCAGCACGCTTGAGTATCTCTCAGTAAGGGTAAATCTACAATTTATAATATAGATTCTCCAGCTCAAGTTATTGTAATTTATTCCTTAAAGGTATTTAGAACGAAATAATCAACTCTCGATCTTGAAGACAGACTATATAAGGCCGTTAAAGAGCTTAACTATGCTTACTTCGGGTGAAGTTGAGCTCTAAAGTCACATTATTGTACCGTGCTGTAGCATTCATTTGATCTTAGTACTTTCGGCTGGCATAGCACTGTGCAGTCCAGTACTGAACAGCTTTGACAACATTTGCACCGGGTGCAAATTAGTGCATCCGTAATTAAGGTTAATAAAAGTTCGAACTTCTAGGGTTTGTATTAAAATAAGATAATCTCCGATCAGATAGATACTACATCACGCAGCATACTGTAAATCGAAGTGAAAATTTAAATTGTTCAGTTTACTATATTTGCTACTTAACGTACTATGGAACGTCGAGTAAAGCATATAAACTGCGAGTCGGCACTTTATCTTAGCATGCGCATAAAAATTACTATTACAAAAGGTATTACTTTTGCGTAAGCATGCAAACAAAGTGAAGCTTTTTCTGAGAAAAGCAACGATCATTTTGATAACGTGTATGTACAATAATTAATTACTGAATGTAACTAAATAAAGTAGTGTATATACATACATATACTGTACTGCAGGTACGAAACTACCTAGGCACTGAGTATCTTCGGCCACAAGATATATTTGCAAACCCGGTAATATTGTAATACAGTACTGCATGTAACTGGTTGTAAATTAGGTAAGTACTTGACCATGCCGGGAGTTTTCGTATTATATTCGACGATCACAATTTTTAGTATAAGTACTGGAGTATTTTAATAATATAATAACGGTTACAGTCTACGTAAAACGCTATTAATATCTAGATGAAGTTTTTGTTTTACATCAAAAATCTCACCACATTTGTTAACAGAAAGGGTATACGTAAGTTAGCACAGCAGCAGCTATAGCGCAGGACACATTCTAACCTAAATTTGATATAAACGCATACTAGAGCGCCCTAGTTTTCTTGTAGCTACAGTAAATACTATGCCAGATCTGGTAAGGCGACAGTAACATACTCAAATACTGATTCTTCACATTTATACCAATCATGTTATTCTCAAAACCTCAAAAATAAATCTAGTCTAGAGTATGTTGCGTTTTCCGTTGAACGAATGAGAAAAAACTAATGTACTATAAGCACTATATCACAAGGAAGTAACAGCATGGTTTAATCGTCGACTTTTTTACTTATCAGTAGTACTTAATTAAATCCTTAACAAAAAGCCGTCACGGAATACAGCAACTGACTCCTTAAACCTCTACTATTTTAATGAAGTTCCCTCACTGAAGCCTTATGCTGAGAATTGTAACTAAGTTGAAAATGACCCAAATACCTACTATACTCGTATTAGAGTCTGTATACTGATGCTTGAAATCACACAATGACACAATGATTAATGCCCAAAATTTAACAAATTCAAAATATTTCTACAGTTAGTTGTCGTTATTTCCATCGTTTTCAACTTCATTGTCAGTCGTCCACAACTATAATGTAAAACAAAAATATTAGTCGTAATATTACTAATAGTTGATCTTTCACTTGAAAGAGATCAACGCCACGAAAAGTAATTTTACATTGATTTTCAGTTCAGATATCGATTATCCTCAGTAATAACGTAATAATTAAGATAGCTAAACTCTATTCATTAGACAGCAACACATTAATTTTGTGTATATATATATACGCTTCTATATTAGCGTCTGTACTGGCCTAATATAATAATACAAGTATAATTTGTAATTCCTTGGAATACTTACAGTAAGGTTATCACGGAGGAGTTGCATAATTAAAGTACTATCTTTGTACGAATCTTCACTCAAGGAATCAAGCTCAGAAATAGCTTCGTCGAAAGCCTAGAGAATTAATACGAAACACTTTGTTACGCGGAAGGAAAGCGATGGCGATACATCTTACTATATCTTTATGACAATCACGGATTTTACATAAGGGTGTACCATATTCATGTAGTATTACAATCTTAGCAGTACAAGATCCAAATGATAAACTATAAAATACGTTAACATTATCAAACATCAGTTTAAAAATTTACCTTCTTTGCAAGTTCACACGCCTTTACAGGAGTATTTTGGATTTCGTAATAAAAGACGGAAAAGTTCAATGCCAGACCAAGACGAATAGGATGAGTGGATGGCATCTGTTTCTTGCTCAAGTCGAACGCTTCCTGGTACGCTTTCTGAGAGTCCTCTACTATACCTGGTTACGATCGAAAATGTAAGATAGTGTTGGAATGATATATCATTTGATTCTTAACTTCAATGGCAGAGAAGCAGTACAGAGCAGCTGTGATAACTTTTCAACTACTACAACACTGGTTTCAAATAGCTTAGAATAGCGATAAAGCTTTATACAGTACTGTACTACTACTTGTATACAGTATGTACTTTATTCTATACCATAATGATCCGATATAACAATATCGTACCTTCGCGAGATTCCCTATCAGCTACTTCAGCAAGATATCTATAGTAATCTCCCTTCATTTTCAGATAGAAGACTTTAGATTCATCATCAGTTGCTTGTGGGATCAAACATTTATCCAAAAGGTCCTAAAATAGCAGAATTTAATAATAATGATAAAAAGTTATCAATTTGAGAGTATCAAAGACTCGCACCCTGTATAATGTACAATTTCAAAAATGACACGAATTAATTGGCACATAATGTAAGGATAATTTCTATAGATGCTCTAGATAGGATACGAGCATGATAATTATTACATGTTTTACACGACTCAGAAAGCTGTAAGACAAAGATTACCACATTTACGCTGAAAAGTCTAATATAATATACAACTGAACTTCATGAAAGCTCTGACACCTATTCATATTTTGAAAATCTTAAAACTATAGCGAAAATAAGCAAGTCAATGCAGTAATGAAAAAAACAGTATTTCTATGCTTCATAAGAATTCTTGGTTGAGTAAATTTCAATCGTCTTCAAAGATCATATTCATGGTAATTATCCCGACAGATATTAGATGCCGATACAAATTTAATAATCGTTTATCAATAAATATAATAAAGGAACGGGCCATACCGCACTAATACTTTTTTGGCTCAATATAAACGCAATACAATCAACAGATGAAATGTGATTTCGTAGGGTTTGTATTCGATGCATGGTATGTGCCTCGTATCATGAAGTCATGTATGTCATGACTCGCCCTGACATATGGTCCAATAATGCCAAAACTTTACTTAATCGTAAGCATTTCATTTACTACATACAGGAATTTAAATGAGTGCATATATATCGTCTACTAGTTAGAACGATTAAAGCGTCAGTATCCAATCGGATATTCGGGTTGCGTTGGTGATAATAAAATTATTGCTCTTATATAGGCAGCAACCGCAATATGCCGCATAGAAGTCTTTTTTAATAAACTACTACATTTATTTAATTAATCATTTATTAAACCAGCGAGCAATGACCGCAAAAAACATTACATCAACACAATTTAGAATACGGTGTCATCCCAAAGCAAAACTGTCAGAGAAACTTCGGAACTTCAATGTGGTATCTTCTCATCATAAATTCAACGGTAGAGTATTGCACGTAGGCTTGAGATCGGTAAAATTAATTAGTTCCGAAAATCGGTAATGATGAAATCAAGATAGTCAGTGAAGTTCTAGGAAATCATCCATATTTACCGATATCGCACTCTCCCTTGTCTACGGTACAGTCTAGCATGGTATCGACTGCTAAATTCAAGTAGCCCTTTAATCTCGTAACGTTAGTGTATTGGATTATCGTCCAAAGCCTTAACGCCAATTAGAAATTTGTGAAAAAGGATAACCTTGGATTAACCACTAGTACTGAACTATACTGTGCACTATACTAGCGTGTATAGGTACGTAGGTACGACTTAGTATACAGTACAATAATTCGATTAATATACTTAAACCGAAGTTAAACGTCAAGTCTACGCTTCTACGGCAAGAAATACAGAAGGTACAAAACTTGTCTCTAATTATCCCATGAGCTGTACTATAAACTACCAAATGTTACATCTTTAATTAAAAGGCAGATGCATGCACGGAAGATACTAACCACTATCTACTTTGGGTAACATCTAGTTATATCATTGTACAGGAGTTATTATGGATAGTCGTCTATTATTTCATAATTATTCGATACAATAGCTAACGGAATACAATGCAAAAAAACAGTTTCACACTATCAATTTTAATCAATTTAATTAAAAATACTCATAGTATAGTGCATTGAAGTGCACCTTTTAATACAGAGCTCCTCCCGAATCTACACACTGAGTAATATTACATCCTGAAACCCCCGATAACTGTTCCATTGCTAGAGCATAAAAAACTCAAGTCACCCAAAATGAGGAGACTACGGGTATGTGTTACGCCATCGTCAATAGCAAAATACTATAAAATTTTGACTTCTATTTGCGTTGCCTAAGAACACTTACTCCACTTTCTATAGGCACACTTACGCAGTTCACTCAACTGCCGGGTTCCTTTCTACCATATGCAAGATGATATTTAAACTAAATAATTTATAACTAAGATGCCGCGGCTTGTTACATAATAAACTTATAAATAAAGAAAGAAATTTTAAAGAGATCATTTACAATCGTACAAGCACCATTGCTGAATACAGACACATGCGTAAAATGCATACTGTAGTCATCGGATTCTCGTAAAAGAATCTCTTTTCGTAACTGGTCGGTGTACATCTTTTACTCAGAGTTCAATCATTAATGATGATTAATATAATTATTAGCCATAATGTACGGCAAAAGTATTGTAACTAAGGAACGCTATTGTAACGCTGGTCCAAAAAAGAAAATATGGTAAAAAATTTAACCAGCAGGTTATCACTCGCCGCAATTGATTATGGAGTACAATAAATTATGAGCTCTTTTTATATCGTTTTAATTTTCGCATGATCCAAACTAAAATTGCCCGGATAAAATAGGGAAATGATTGAAAATATGTAATGCAGTATTTAAATCATTACTACACCAGTAAGGCAATCTGATACAATTTTTTATAAGTGAGCGTACTAATCAAAATCTTGTGACTAATACGCGTCTTTCAAAACCGTCCATGTACGGTGGTATCTTTTTGTGATAAGGTTCTGTACGAGTATGGAAACGACTAGAAGCTTTCGCCCTTAGTCTATATGTAACGGCGAAAAGACAGTACAGACTTAATATAGACAATGTCACGAGCCAGCAGAGTGATTTTCATGCCATGCTAATTACATAGAAACCAGCAAAAACAGAAGAATACAGTGCTTCACAATGTTTGGTTTGGGCATAATGATAGGAGATCGTGAAAAAAACAGAAGTACAGTACCTGTACCGCATGTTTCCAACGATGTGTACAGTACAGTACAGTACAGTACTGTGTTGCGGTACTGTAAACGAATATACAATTTTACTATGTCACTGGTACCGTAAAATCAGCGATATGTACTGTAACCTACTGCAGCATATTGTACCTTACAATGCAGTACGGTAAGAGTTGACCGCCAGGGAGCGTTTCCAGTTTATCAGCCGTAGACCAGTTTTTTTTTGAATAACTATTTTCGTAAGACCGAATGGTAACGCGCAGCGTCATACTACATACTGCACTTGACGTCTTTTCACAATTTTTCAAATCAGACTGAGAAGTAGCAAACAATGGGAAGCAAAAAAAGCAGTGTAACTAGTCATAGAGAACTTTGAAATGATCTCTTCCTTTCGGCAGTAATATCTCTACTGTTTCTCACTATTCTTCAGTCTGTGTGGTCCCTTTCTTGACGGAATACCATATATTGTATTGCTAATGAACTAAAAGTACACTTAAACATAAAGCAACAGCATGCAACTAATATGGGACGTATGTGCGAGTAAGCGGTAAAGTGCGTTTATACAGAACGTCTGCGTACATGACATAACAGAAAATGATCACATTTCCCTCTCGAGTTTGATTAAGTTACGGATTTCTTTTTGCCCATCAATACAGAGCACTGTGTGAATCTGTACGCCACTGCAATATACATTGATGAATTAATACGTAGCTTATTTAACACTAATAGTTTACACGTTTAAGCTGTCAATAGTATGAAAACGATCACTTGCAGTGTCCGCCATTAATCATAACGTATCAGCGGTACGAGTCAAAGTTAAAAACGAACACTGGTATACACGCGTATTTTTACAGTATAGTAGAGACAAAACATTCTTATGCAATCTACCATATTTATGGTAGGGAATTCCTTCATCAGCTTCCATTATAGCCAAACAGCAAAGTAAGGCGGAAAGCTTTAAAGCAATTTGCCAGTATTCGACAATTATGACGTTAAGACAAAGACAAAAAAATCTTTAAAATTTGTAACTACTGCAATAACAGAATTTATAGGGTCGCAGAATCAATAAGTATGGTTCAATAGTAAATCATCACGAAAAATCTACTGTATGTTTTAGTTATAGACATAATAAAGATGGAAGTATCCGCAAGCAAGGGACATTAGGCAAACAGATATCATTTAGTTGGAAAGTTTCAAAAAGGTAACGATTACTAACCAGAACGTCATCGCAAATATCTTGTAATTCCTTCTCAATCTTCAAACGATACTCCCTAGTGATTGTCAATTTAGCCTCAGGTTCACCCTTGTCTAAAAATTTTTGCTCAATGCTTGATATAATACGCCAAGAGGAACGTCTAGCACCAACAACGTTCTTATATGCTACAGATAGTAAATTTCTTTCTTCAGTATCCAATACAAAACCAGATTCAGTGACCGATTTCATAGAGGCGGCCATGTCATCGTATCTTTCTGCTTGTTCAGCAAATTTAGCCTTTTGGATCAACTTAGCCGATTCTTCCATTACTGTGATTTGTCTTCTTTAAATCAATTAAGTAAGATTCTAGAAAAAGGAATATGTTCAATCGTGACAACCGATTTTTAGGTAGCCTAAAACAAGGCGGATCAAACAGGTCAAGAGAAAAGCCTACAGCAATGATTTTCCTAACCGCTTCCTTTACAGTAGTCTGCAGTACCGTAACCGAAATGCAAGATGCACGCGCAATGTGCAGTAGAATTGAAATAAAAGAGCTCCTAACCCAGCCAAAAAATGATGTGGGGTGAGCAAACCCCTGCTGTTCATATGGCGGCAATTTGACGTCATCAATGCTAAGGATGACGACAGCGTTTGTGCAGACTACTGTACATTGTACAGTACAAGAGTTCTTAAGTACAGTACAGTATAGTACGCTACTGTACTGTACATCATAGACTTGTCGGTATCCTATGGCAGACTTCTCAGCCGTCCCCTACTTCACAAAAGATAACCTCATAGTTATTCTGTGTCATAGGTACTACACTAAATTTAGCATTTTGGAATTGCCAGTACAAGCAGTAGTATAAGTCTTGGTGTACTAGTAGAGGCAAAAGAAAAACCTCGTTGACTGTGACAGTGAAAAATTGGAAGACTTTTTCTATTGACAGTGAATAGCACTGTCCTGAAGTTTGACTGATTTTTGGTGGAACTTGTTCATACAGGTGCAGATTATTATGGGAGTACCGTGGTACTGTACTGTACTCACTCGTCACTATGGTACGTTCATACAAGCAGCCAGCGACCGGCGTTGAGCGTCGAGCGACGAGTTACAGTACTGTGCACCAGACCTCTCGTGTACTGTACACTGTACCGTACACTCACTCAACTCGGGCGTACAGTCACCGCGTGCCGCGTCAATGTTCACTCTTTCATAGTAACTCATTTAGTGGCACAGTATACTGTACAGTACAGTACTATTTCACTGTCTGTACCGCACGTCCGATTATCTGGTGTCAAAAAATAAACTACGGTAAATTAGTATACAGTACTGTACAGTATAGTGGAGTAAGTCGACGCATCATACTACTACTGTACTGTACGTCTCAGCTGTACTGGTTTATTAATGTCTAAATACTGTCTGTGCAATATTGTACAGTACTGTACTGTAGAGTGGAGTAAGTCGATGCATCATACTACGTCTCAGCTGTACTGATTTATTAATGTCTTTTGCATTATCCTTAACCGTGCTATCTAGCAGTCAAAAGGCAAAGTCATAACGCTGCTTGGAACTTTTAGTAATAGATTCCTGTACGTACTGTCCCATGCATCATATGCATGCATTTAGGCCGATTGTTTTAAACTTCCAAAGGATTAACGACAGTGTAATATGGCATGATATGGAATGGTCTACGCAAAGACTTTTTTCAACTTTGAGCATTCTGAATGGATCTTACAGTATACAATACTTAGTTGATATGAAGAACAGTACTGTACTGTACTGTACTGTACAGTACAATGTACCCTGTACAGCACTGCACTTTTACAGTATAGCAATCGATATGTACGCTGTACTGTACTGTACAGTGTACAGTACAGTAAATCATTCTCGTGAAAAGAGTAGCAGATAGAATAATTTCGACAGTGTGATGACACGTAATATGATTGCAACACCATAAGATCTGATCAGAATCAATGGAATAAATTGTAGGATAAGCCTATAAGCGTATGCCTGTACAGTATATACGAAGAGCTAATATTGAATAGTTTGATGACGGTTGCCTTGATTAATTGCATGAACCAAGCATACGCTGTACTGTACAACTAAGAGTAAGTCTGTTCCGCAAGATATTGCTATTGAAGGATTTTTTATTCCATCAAAAATAGACAGACATTCAATTGGTACTATAACTTCGGACCAGAGTTCAGATAGTACTGTACTGGATATTAGCTTAATTAATAAAGTTGAAGTATTTGCCAATCTTTAATGACGCAATGCAACCTATCGCATATGATATACGCCTATGGTATGGTATGGACGTACTACATTCGTATCCAGTATAATCGTGGCATTACACAGAACATACTGCATTGCTTGGTCAACTAAAATTGACTCAACCCTTTTCGAAAAATTAACGCGATGCTTTTGGTGAAATCTGCTTCTCTAGCGTATATTAGAGACTGCTTAGAATTTCTACTCTGCAATTTTCCATTTGCAACACGATTTTCATGCTCTCATAGCCGTATAGATTCTCCTGTACTTCCTGCATTCCGATTATTACAATTACTGCCGTAATACCTACAGGCTACAGCTGCCTGCTAACACAACAATTCAGCATGAGAACCCTCGACAACGACTGCTTGTGGCTGCACTCTCACAATATGGAATATACTCAAAACTAGCAAAATGTTTTTCTAATTTTGTTCCATTTTTATAAATTATACTCAAGACTGCGTTAACAGTTATTTTATTATCTCGCTCAAAAAGATTCTTTAATTCATTCAGTAACTTTCAGTGACACTTAAATTATATGTGTATTCAGTAATCGGAAATTGATATCCTAATGATAGGTAGACATTCGTCGAGCACGTACGCTTTACGTACAATATATGATAGAATCCATCAGAAGAATTTCATTAAGGGCAGGTAGTTTACTCAAAGCAAGTAGCCTAGTAAATTGTTCGCGAGATTAAAATCGAGATTGACGATATCGATAATAAAGCAATAATTCCTCATTGTCATAGCGCCCTGTAAAGAAACCTTCAAATAGACAGTAGTATAGTTATGAGCTGTTAATTGAAGAAAAAAGATGCACTGCACTAGAAACAATGCACGTCGCAGAGGCTCTTTCCAATCAACTACGTTTTAAATCAATTTCTATCGTGCGTAAGCAATTTATCACCATTCTACAGATTGTAACTGTCTTAGTTTAAGTCTTTGTCTCACTGTCTTTAATGTCAAGGATGTGCCTTGAGCCAGAATTCTTCCAGTGCTACGTCCAAAATACCATCATTAATTAAGAAGCAGGAAAGTTGCAATATGCCAATTTGTTGATTCAAAGGACATCATAAACCATATTATAGCATTTTCTTCATAAAAGTGTACAGTTTATTTTTATTTTTACAATACCGATATGCATATATTCTTTTAAGGAATTAGAGATTATCTGATTACTATCCAATAAACACAAGCAGTTTAGTTTAGTTTAAGTGTATTCCTTTATTACCGTAATCGCTTTTGTTATTTTTAACTCCTAGAATTTGTAAGCCTAAAGTAAGCATCTATAGATTTTCCACGCAATAGATAAATTGAATCTAATTCTTTCATCTTTCCTCTCCAATTTTATGCTGTGATAAATTAGTGTGACGAAAAGGTAATAGAGTATGAATGATATACTCTCAAAATCGCTAGTATTAATGCATTCAAACTCCTATTCAGATTTAGAAAGATACGTTTGTAACGAGATCAAGAATCTGAGATTTTGAGCTTTCCTTTCCTTTAGTCTACTTTATTTGGAAGCCCAAGCCAAGCGCGATATCATACACACGTTAATGAGTCATAAGAACTGTGACAACAAATCAGCTCTAGTATGAACATAACTTTAATACCATATCCTAATGCACGTGAACATTTGTAGAATGTGATCATAATGTAGTAGGTGTAGATAAGCCGTAAAAAGTATTGTATGATATCTAGGATTTCCCACGTTCTATGGCGGCATACACTACAAGGTAACAAGCAGTACTGTAGTTTACAGGACAGGCGATGTTACGACAACGTTAGCTGTCTGAACACCACCGACAGTTTCACCATTTTAAAAGGCGGCAACACAATTATTGTAGATCTAATTAATTAGTTACAGCCTGTGATAGATTAGCTAGCGAGCACAATTATGCTGATTTAATTATTGTCGGTATTTTCTATAAAACGTAATGCAGTATGTCATCTCTTGAGTATTGTAATTATATGGTTTCGTCTATGTCTTCTTACTATGATACACCCGAATATTGTCTTCGTTCAGTTTTCTCCCTTGGATGTCTATCCTGTAACGTCGGTAAATCTGTATGACTAACAAAAGACTTTTATTTTACATTAACTTACTTATAAGTTATTAGCACGCAACATCGGCGTACATAGACGCTATTATTAATTTTTATCTAGCATGTAGACTGTACAGCATATATTATAAAAGTACCATTAAAGCATCTTAATGAACTAATCAGTTATGATTCAATTTCTGGATGCATCAGTACTTTGATAGAAATCGTCCCCTTTGTAGTGATGCAAGTAAAGTACATACGCGTATGCGGTGCATTTAAGTTTCATAAATCAAGACTACAAAAGATCCTTGTCGTAGTTGATCCATTATTAGCGATTTCGTCATCTATTAATGCACCGAAGCTATTCTCCTTCCGCTTTTTGTACTTTGACCAGCATAGTTTAATCTCGTCTTTGAAGCAAACTATGGCGACCTACTGGTCGCCATAGTTAGCTTTAAAGTGTAATAACGAATTTTTACAATCACTCTACATATACTTGATCCAGTGAATTCTTAGTATGAACTAGTTAATAGACCATATCAGTCTTTTCTCTTACGGCTTTGATATCTATCAAAGATCATACCTGTAACTCATTTTTATCACATAGTCCAAACGTAAAGGTTAGCTATTAGAATTAGTCGGGATAGAGCAGTGCTGTACTGGGAATTAATTGTTCTGATGTAACGCACTGTTAAAAAGTTGGGCGTGATATTTTGACAACACAAATATAAAATGTGAATTATTGCCCATTAAAATATCGAAATAATAACTACTAAGCTAAATTCTAAATGTCTTTATACGTCATTTAAAACTAGGGTGTTTTTGTCTTTGGATTACCTTATAACTACAAGTTATCAAGTGCATGACATTTTGCTTCTCTAGTTGTCCACCCGTCTACAACTCCTTTCATTGAGTTATCGGACCTAAAACTTTAATTTTCAATTTCAGCTAGCGTTTACACTGGAACGAAATCGAGTATAACTTGACTTTTCCTTAAATTTTACAAATTTTCCATGTATACTGAAGAATAACTATAAATACATTTATCGATCTGTTACTGTTCAATTGATATAAAAGACAGTCTGGAATTGCAAATCTCAGCTTAAATGCATATAATTTCGGCTATATACTATTACCATCCATGCATAGAAGCACAATACTTTTCTTAATCTACGCAGAGCGCTAGCACAATCATAACTTGCTTCTTATTCGATAATGATAAACTACAAGAGCTTATCTAGAATTAAATAATCCTTTACAAAACGTTGGTAATTATAATTTACTTGTTAAACCATGGTGTTAAAAACGTATAATCCGTGTTATATCTAACGGTTAAAGCTGTAGATTTCTTCGAATAATCGATATTATAGCAAGTACGATCAATTGAATAAATTAAACAGGCATGCTATTGAAGACGTAATCATGCTAAACCGACATTATTTCAATCTTAAGGCTAGGCTAGTGGTAGAAATAACACAGAATAAAAGAGTTATACCAATAGATCAGAATTAACCTCGGATCATACCGTAATCAACTTCAACAGACTGGTGATAACTAGACACTCCAACGTCACTAGAACGATCTAAAATGCGCTGATAAACCATGATGATGAAAGGTCTCAGTCCCATTAATTAAAGCCAATCCATCTTAGTCCTTAAGACTATAGAAGCTACAGCACCATCGTTAATTGAGAACTTAGCATAATATTAAATAACTCATTTAAATAGTATGATATCAAAAGTCGAGAATTCACGAGAAGTAATAATCTTAAAGGTCAAATACTGTTGACAGTAACAGTAAGATAGCTACTCTCATCACAATTAGCTTCATATCACAATTACGTTGTTCACATAATATTAAATAGTGATGATAATCAGATATTGTATTTTTAGGAATTATTACTTAAAAGATTTGATTGACAAATTTGAAAGCAATTTTTCCGAGAACCTTTCTCATCAGAGGCCATTCATTAATGTAAGCACGTCAATAACTTGGTTACTTAAATCAACCTACCAAGCCAAAACAGTACATTAAAACTTTCGCCAGCCATTCACAACCAAGAAAAATAATAGGAAGGAACAATTGGTTGCGTTATATCGGATCAATTGCAGATGTCATGTTAGTATTATGCCGCATTTAAAGAAATCCTTTCTTTTGTTTACCAGTTTTATACTTAATGTGCAAATGCCTTATTGATATATAATGACACACTTTTCATGGCAATAAAATGATGATTATCAGTAAGTTATGATCGATTTTAGCACTATCTTAAATCGATAGACAAAACAAAATCAATCATATATTGAATTCAATATGGTTGGGTGTCATTATATTTCTATACTTTATATATTTTTAGGCTGTATCCATTTCTCGGTTACCATGATCGATCTAGGTAATGTCTAAATTGTTATTAATCTTCTACATCATAGCTCTTAAAATTTCTTTGAGATGCAATATGTTTGATTATTCGTTTACTATACTACGCGTATATTTAGTGCTCTAAGCTGATGTCAATTTTAAATTCTGTACCGTAAATAATAACAGAATTTGCATATCGTTATACTCTCTTTAGTCATTTCGACGCTTCATTTTAGTCGAAATTCATTCTGTATGATGTGACTATAACTTTTAATTTTTTTAAAGCACATGCAATCAATTAAATTGTTGTAAGTGATGGTATTCTTTCAATTAATTTGTAATTTCAAGATCCTATTTATATATTCATAAGATGAATGAACATCTATTAGTCTTATATTATCCGCGTAATTTTCATGTGAATCTAAAAACTAGATTTTACGTCTACCAAGTTGTCGATACAAGATACTACCCACTACGAAACTGAGATTAAATAAAGGGTGATGTTTGTTTACTTGCTAACGCCTATAGTATATCATTGGTGCAAAATACATGTTTATAATGTACTTTTTAATCTTCTTAAACCCTTGATCTTATCAAGAGTGCACTAAATTAAGATAAATTAAGTGAAAATTTCTATGCACTGCTCCGAACACTCATTCATACACGCCTGATATAGTATCGTATCGCCGATTAACTTATTTATTTCAGGCAGATAGCTCATATTAGATCCGATACGAAGCTTTAAAGCTATATCGTAGTAAATGCCACTGAAATTATCTCTATAACGTAGATATCCACAAAATGACAATGAGTTATATTCTACTTCTTAAGTTTTTACTATCGTAATGCTAATGGAAATCTTATTCTTTGAAAAATTGCAACATCAGTTGATACGGTACAATCTAAAATATAAATTTTATAGTTATACATATTTATGCAATACGATCTTTCAGTCAATCTTGTGTTCTTTGAAAATATTGTATACTGCAGAACGTATCCAATATTATGAAAAATTGCAGTTAGCGGATTTTAAATACATCACAAGTCAAAATACTAGGTCTAACACGAACGGCTGCAGCGGTCTATCATGCCGGATTGAATCGATATTATTCACAGCTTTTGATAGGTATGATATTTCTATTAAATAAGACTATCTGGTCAAAAAATGTTGTTTGCTATAATAACCAAGTTATCGATACAAGTTGCTATCAAATCCAATTCGTTGTCAAGATCGGCAGTTTTTTACTTTAATAATATAATACTACGCTTAAAAACGGTACAAGATTTTTATCTGCCAACTGCATAAGTCTTTTAATCGTAGATATATTATTAACATAGATCTTCAATTACGATCTTAAATGCTTTCATTTTATTGATATCTCTAATGCAATTGATAATCCTATTTAGTGTCTTGCAAAGCGATGATCATGAATTTTTTGTATCCTATTCCTTTAATATCAGTACTCATCTAGCCACTTATTTTCGCTATTTCAATCCATCAGCTAAATGTGCTCAACTGCCTAAGCTATACTGTATTCTTTTTAGTCGGATTGTTATACTTTATGTTAAATTCATAGAATTCATTCTTCCTGAATTCGTTTAGCTCACTTTGAACGATATATTAAAACCATATTACTTATAAATTAATTACTAGTATCAACTCCATATATTTTAATTTAATTTTACAACCCCTGTGTTAGGCAATTTAATTTAAATTTATGGCCACGCTCAGGGCTGTTCTCACCATCATTCGAAGTGTACCATTTGGGTCATACTGAAAACAAAATGATCAAATACGATTTTCAAGTTGATCACCTTTATGAATGCAGTCTCGACGGTAAGCACGGTAATTTTAGCTATTCGATAATTTTTATTAGTCTATCTCAAGCATTGGGCCGTTTCGTTGCATGAGACAACAATGGAAACATGAAACACTGGCTAATTCATTCCTGTCAGTATTGGTTAATTGCGCATATTCTGAGAAATCACAGTAATATGTGTAAAAAATTTAAATGAACTCCAATACCAGTAGCTACATGCCTACATCTAGACAAACTAGGTAAGAATTATTTTTATAATTTGATCATAATTAGGTGATTTAGCGTCGGAAGGTTCTTTTTATATCGATGAATATACAATTTTGGGAACTTTTGAAGCCATAAATGAAACTTATGCCATCGAGGTAAGAATAGGATGTGCATGCGTATCATCAATAACACGCTTAAAATAATGAGCAATCATACGTACCCAAACCGCTGTTATTAGTAATACATAGTTTTGTAATACAACTTGACAATTTTCTAATATTCATTTTATGATCTTTCTTGGCTAAAGCTATCTATTGGTTGATTTGGTCACCATAATTAATTCATACTGATATTGCTTCACTTAACCATTGCTAATACTAGTTTTATGCCGTCAGAAAATTTCCACTAACGAGTGAATTCAGTTTGAAGTTAGTCTGATAATTATTTTTTTCTTGTTTTCGAAGCCTTATCAAGATGGCAGTAACAGACAGGATGGCGCCTCAACATTTATTATCTACCGTCAAAGAGATTTGAAATATAATAGCTATAATAATAGCAGGTTCAAATCGTTTACATTGTAAAATTAAAGTAATATCTTGACAGGCAAATGAAATTAGACGATTATCATCCACCCACGGTTATCCTTATTACTTCGATAAACAGCAATATGAATATCTCTTTACCCCATTTCTTTATTATTATCTTGTCTACGATGCCCCTATATAAACATAGCTAAACTAGACTGATGACTTGATATATCCATTAACAATTGATGAATAACTTCAGTGAAATATTGAAATATAAATAGTATACGATCCAAATAATTGATGCTTTTCAAGATCTGTAGCCGACTTTCTCCAACAATGCAGTCATGATATCGATTATAACAAATGTATAAGAACTTTGCCAGCTCAACATAACGTTTTCTAATTATTTTATAGTGGAAAATTCTTGCCTGCTTTTATACTTTTTTTATACATTTTATCATCTCGCCGTACATGTATGTACTACATATTATAATTATGTCTACAGTAGCCAGGGAGTAAATATCATGTCTTTTACTACAGTAATATCTTTTATCATCGATCAAATCTGATAATAATTATGATCTTTATAATTTCAGATATTTATCAGATTCATGTAATATTGTTGTACCTAATTCGATTGATCGTCATCACATCAAAAATGAAGAAGGTAGACTAGCGTACCCTAGACTTTATCGTATGCTCTGTTGTAGATTAGTATTATTAAAGTTATGCGTTGAACAGTTTTGTGTTCTGTATATCATCTTTTACGCAGAGTACGCAAGAGTTTATCGTGCGAAATTAGCGTTAAATACGATAGCTATATAGTGTGCTGAACTGATCCTGTACAAAATAGTAAATTAACATGAGGAAATAGTACCAATTGTAGACTTAGACCCAGTAAGATGTCTTAGTAGCTCATTGCATCTAATTGTAATGAACCTGCTACAATTATTACAACTAAGATAATTTAATTTAATCTATAAATTCTATAGTCACAGCTTATACAACTTTGACTGCAAAGCAATTTATGGTATCTTTCCATTACAGTGATGAATTAAAATCGAATAAAAGAATTCTTTAATTAATATTTCAGAATTCGATGATCACAAACGTTACACAAGAGAAATTATGGAAATGGATACTTGTAAACTGGCGTTAGTAGCGGATTATCGATTTTTTAACCATATTGGAGATAAAAATGTTGGTAGTACAATTAACTATATGGTAAGTATTGGATCTTATATTCCGAAGCTTAGTTTCGGTAAATTCTTCTTTAAATCGATTATGCACATTAACTGATTAACTTGATTTTTCATTTAATAACACTCAAACCTTTACTATGTGCAGAGTGCGATATCAGATTTTGTTAACATTTTATTATTATAAAAATATACAAATATAAGATAAAGGCTTAAGATATCATATAAATTCTAGTCTCGGTTATTTTATTGTAAATTTGCAATCACTAGGTCCATATAGCGGATAGGGTTGATAGGATGTATCGGTCAGAATCATTTAAAGATAATATGCCGAGGATAGGATTTCAAATTAGTAAGGTACAAATTGACTTAGACAGATAGTGCATTAATACACGCATCTCGGTAGGCTATAAATATTTGATTATTGTTATAGTTTTAATTATAACTAAAATGAGATAAAGAAAAATCCATTCGATATCTAACCTCATTGCTATCATAATTTCCATCCTTCAGAAAATGGAAATATCTCTAGAAAATGTATAAAAAATAAGCAAAGGTTCTATTATATGTGTTTAGATTATAGTACATAATGAATCCTATACTAGTGCGAAACATCACTACAATATGCAAAAATCGCTACATGATATTCAATCACATTTAAAGGTATGTTAAATGGTATTTGGTGTAGGCTATGAATGGTTATTCTGGCTAATTCTATTTGTAGCCAATGATATTAATTATGAGATAGTCTCAGCTAATTGCGCAAATAAGATTACTTATTTAATGAGATATAAAATATCCGTACAACATTTGAGAAAGACTTTTAATTTCTATTACTTTGATATACCCCATTACATCGTAGCTATTTAGTCTTAAAGATTGGAGTCAAGTTTGCTTAGCACATTTATTTACCTATCAAGATTTTGCTGATGGAACGATTGGTTTAGCTTACGTAGCTAGTCAACGCCAGGATACCGTTGGAGGTATTTGCTCACCACGTAAGTTAGACAGTCTTTTTCTGACGACAACTAAAGGCGGATATCTTTGTATGCACGCTTGAATTATTAACGCGATGTTATATAGACGGCAATTTCTAAGACTAAAGGACCTTGTCTAAATTATAAGTGTTCTTCAGTAGCCATTGGAGATAGGCAAAATAGAATGAGAATCATTGCTATATTATTAGGCATCCGAAACGGAAATGATTATGTCAGTGCTAATGTGGGATTAAGTACTCCTCTAAATTGGGGTAAAAGAATGACAACATTGGAGTTTCAATTAGTGCTTGCGCACGGTAATTGTTGCAATAACTTAATTTTAGCGTATATATGGCTTCACGTGCATTGCTTTTGCATAATACTGTAGTTCTCGAAATTGTTACTGCATAAAGTAAATTACTGGATAAGTAGTTTAGAGAAAGGTTAAATAAATACGGCAGTTACCTCAAGAAAATAAATAATTATAAAATATCAGTATTAGTAACGTTTTTATTATTTTGCTTGAATTAACTTTGGGATTGTTGAATCAATATGCCCTTCTCAAAAATAGAAATCGGTAAGATAATTGTTATTAGAATAATGATAATTCACGTTTTTTATTTCCGTATAAATCCTTTAATATGACTATACTGTCTGTAACGTTTAATATGATAAAGGTCATAGTTTTGGCTCTGAACATGATCCATTAGAAGGAGTTTGTTCACCATCGGAGGCAAAAGGTGGAAAATATTTAATGTTTCCGGCGGCATTGTCCGGATTAAATTCTAACAATAAGGTACTGTACTAAGAGCATAGTGCCTAGCTCTAATGTAAATTCTACAATCAATTTTCTTATCAACTATAAAATTAGTAAAAATTATATGAAAGAAGTGGCTTACTTATTCTGTTTTCGAAATAATTCAGACGCATTTGACTATTTTCTTCTGATACATTACATTATGTTTCCTAAGAAAAGGCACAGTTTATTTTGCAATACTTGCTAATAATATATTTCGATGTTGCTAACCAGTATTTTATTTCTTAATAGCTTTTTTCATCGTGTAGTAAAGACAGTATTAAAGGAGTATTGCAAGCCAAGTCACAGCTATGCTTTACAGGTATTAAGTGTATAAAGTTTAACATTGAAAATTTGTAGGACTGAAGTTATGTATCGCGCAACAATTGTCGTACGATCAGTTGTTAGGAATAAAGCTAATGTTATTTATAAATTTTTAGAAAGAAGTAAAAGTCGATGCGGAAATTATGAAGTGGAAGAAGGAGAAGAATGTGACGCTGGTATACTAGGAAATAAAGGCAGAAGTTCATGTTGTACACCGAATTGCAAATTCCGACCAAATGCGGTTTGTAGGTATATTATCAAATAGGAAAAATAATTATAATATTTCAGTTTACTCTGGGTCATTAAATTGGAGCTACGACATTCAGTTTCGCTCAGTTTAGTCATTTATGCTATAATTTTTCCATATTCCTGTTTTTAAGTATTTACCATATTTCAATATTAGTAGTACATTGTTCATGCTTTGACTAAGGTTTTAGCATGGAATGAATAACGGTTTCTTTGCTAATTATGCAACGGAATACATTCTGCATCATTTATGTATATGTAATAGCGATGAAAACGAAATTTGCTGTCTTAACTGCCAAATTGCTCCAAACACAACACTCTGTCAAGAAGCAGTATCGGAAGATATATCATGCCTTGGAGAATCATACTGCGAATATCCTTCTAATATCACAATTTTATGTTTTCGTTTACGCATATAGTCCTTCAATTTTTTGCTGCACTTGTTTCAGAGATGCAGATTTAGACTACACATGCTGCATTACTCTTCATTAAGCAATAATACTTATAGTTTTTGCCTCACAATAATTTTATAGTGTGCAGGATTTTAATCCTTCCTGTAATTTTTACAATCTAATTTGAGCTACTACAGAAGTCATATCGTCTTCTAATGAAGACTCTATGACGCATTAACGAACAGTAATGAAATTTTAAGTCAACAACGTACATCAGCGAAATCAAAGATACTTAACTATTCTAATACCCTTCATAGTATATCATTGCTATCATGGAATTGCTTCTATAATTCTTTCTTTAACTTCGACCACTGGTTTTAGCAGTCAATGTCCTCAAGCTTTACCCAAAGAAGATAATGCACCATGCATTGGAGGGTAAGCTTAAAAATCCTTACTTCAGAAGATAAATACTAACACTAGCTATTGTGTTAGATTTGAATATTAGCAATAAAAGATTAACTTAGAATGACTTTACTATTTTCAATGTTTAATGTCGATTTGGAAGGCGTAATATAATATAATTTATTGACTTAGCGTGAAAGTTAATTAAGCTTGCGAATAGATGGATTTGAAATCTGCTAGTAAACTCATGCTTTCATTTATATTATTGATTTGTGAACATAGGGGAGTTTGTCAAAATGGCATTTGCTTAACATTCTGTGAGAAATACGATAAATCACCGTGCATTTGTAGTGAAGGTAAGCGTTTCTTAATCATACAAGAAAGATGCAATGCGTGTTAAACAGTAGCAATATTGCAGTAGGTAATTTTGCACATCCTCATATTTACTGTTCATGACAAGCAGCATCCTTAGAATTTGGGTAATACAATTTTAAAATATAGTAATTAAGTTTACGAATATATTAGGCTTATGAGGTAATCAACGACGAAAGTATTTTTAGATAACGTGTATTCTTACTGATAAGTTATTAATTTATAGAGTTCTCGTCCTCTACATTATCTTTCCTATTATACTACTTCACTAGCTTGTAGATGATATATGTGCATGCTGTAGTACCCTTACTAGGTATGAGTTGCGTGTAATAGAAATGCTTACTTTCTTGTAGTGATTATGAATGTTTCAAGTGTATATTTTTGATTCTAGTTACAGTAAGTCTCGACATTATGTTACATCTTATAGGTATAAATTATCGTGTATTGGCCGGCTCAAATTTGCTAATTATTATTTAATTATCTATGTATAATTAATTTAGATAACATATCGTGCCAAATATGTTGCAAAGACAATGCATCAGCTATTTGTAAACCACATCTTGATGCTAACGGCCAAATGATCAGTTTACCAGACGATAATCCGTGCCTTGAAGGAATTTGTAAAAAGGTAAAACTAAACTACTCTTGCGTTGCAGACACTTAAATATAATCGATTGTAGATATAGATTGCTATTCTAGTAACAGCAAGCAAGTCATGATTACCTACTCATTCGTGTAACATATCTGAAGCATTGCTGATGTTGGAATTGCACTAGGGGAAGTGTAGCAAAACTGTGCAAGACTTTATAACACGAATTCATAGCGCATTAGAAAATTTATCATCGCGCGACGTTGGTAAGCTATACTGACTATGATAACTACAGTGTATCTTTAATATGTATTCAACAATTTGCAATAATTTTTCCGTTATTAAATGTTGAACAATTACAATCAATTACTAGCTGAATGGATTACCAATAATATCGTAGGAGCTACCCTAATTATTTCCGTACTCGTATGGATTCCCTGTTCATGTATTGTCAATACTGTTGTAAGCACTGTGACCGTTATCTACCACATTCGCAATAAGCCGTAATATATGGTATCAACTAGTAACAATTAACAACAAAAGCTAAAATAATTTGTTTTAGGATAATAAACAGCAAAAAAATCGTGATAAAAAAAGGATGGAACGCTATTTACAAAGTGTTCAGGTAATAATTCATTTTCCATATAGGTTTAATTTGATTTGTGGCGAAAAGTTAAACCGTAACAGGAGATATGAATAGTGTTGCTTTCAATTTTTACTCTTTAGGCAGAAGTTGCATCAAAGTACGATATTTAAAGCGATAGCCAGTTACATATATAATATGTATAGTGAACATGTAATGTAATTAACTATTTCACGCAACGTTAACAAATTTATTACTTAGCACAAAAACGTACCGACAGTAGCAAACATACTACTACTAGGCCCAAAATCGAATATAATGAATATGAACTGCTAATATTACTTTCAGAGATCTTTTTATGTAATCAGACATTGTGTAAAAACATTGTAATTACTATCAAAAATTATGTTACATTGCATAAACTGTTTATAATGTACATCATGAATGCGCTGATATAAAATAATTACTCCTTTGGCGATGTGTTAAGATGTGGAATTAAGGTACAATTTATGTGTAAGTAAATTTTTTCCTCATGAGACCTGGTTTTCCACTAAGAAGATTTGTATTAGCCTAACTGTTAATTCTTATTTCAGGGAGTAATTTGACCGAAATAATTATACTAGCATATTTACAGCATGCCGAATTAATATTTGTTTTTATGTATACGAAATAAATTTTCTTATTATAAGTACTGTATGTCAGAACTGCAACATAAAATATGCAGTGATTGCCCGAATTTCGAATACTCTGAGAATGTAGCAGAAGCAAAAGACAGGCAAGTCAGTCTTATAGTAAATTACTTGATTTTCGGACGCTCTAACGGTATGCTTTCCGTAGATGTTGTCAAATCAGCCTAATCATCAGTTTCATCTTGAATAAATAACATTGATGGCCTAGTGATACCCAATTCCTCTAGAGTAGGGATATTTGTAGAGTCGGGATCATATGTAAGAGTCTTACGCGGAAAATTGGTAACAATTACAAATTCCATAGGAACTTCATCCGACTTGTGGATGTAGTCGTATAATGTCTATAAGGAAATAAAAGTTTGTAGAGGCTCACTGAAGGAAGCGAGACCATTCATGTAAATTTTTATCACCTCTAGAGTATCCTTAGTAGAAAATCTTCGTTCAAGACGAGACCCTGAAGGAAATTTTATTATTATTCTAACGGCATTAGGATCATCTACTGTCGGTTCAGCGGGTACCCTGTTAGCTCTCATGATACGCTCCGATTTGTAACGCTGTAAAATAGTAATATTTGTAATTGACTATATGACTATACCGTAATAATCCCGCAGCATCATAAGAGAGCAATGAAAGTCTAACTTTAATGGCACCTCTAATTTTTCTTCAGCTTCCTTAGCTTTTCTATTTTCTTCTTCTCTCTCTTTCTCTAACCGTTCAGATTCTGCCCTTTTTATACGTTCCTGCATGTAGGTTCAAATATTCATGCAAAATCCATCATTGTAGAGTATCAATTTTATAGTAGAAATGTAACTTAAAACACAGTGTAGGACAGTGACGCGATTTTACCTTCTCTTGATCAGCTCTTAAAGATTCTTGATAAGCGGCATCCTGCTGTTCTCTCAACAACTGATTTGTAATTCGTTGATTTCTAGAAAATTTGATGATAGTTACTTAACTATTTATAATTAAGATTTAAAATAATATAATTGTGGGATACCTTTCATCCCGTGCAACCACCAGATAAGGTTCATTGTCTTCAAAAGTTTGTTTTAGCATAGCTACAACCTCATCCAATTCCAGCAATCCTGCGAGAAGATTTATAAAATTTAAATTTCTTATGGTGATAAAGCTATGCAAATAGATTTTCTCACGATTATTATGATGGATTACAAATGATAACTACTTGCAGATCTTTATCAAACATACCCTCAATTCTTTTAACGACAACCATTTTATTGTCCCTCTGTGAAATAACGGCAAGAAAGGGAAAGGTAGCAGGTCTTAAAGCTTCACAAGCCTCTGTAAACGGTATTCAATATCAGGTATGATCAATGAAAACTAAAAACATCGTACAATACTAAAAAATATTACAAATTTAATTTAGATTCTACATGTATAATGATAAAACCTCTGTATCCTTCGTAGGTATCAACATCACCACCCCAAGTAAGGACTTGGTTATTATTAATAAACTCTACAAACTGCTCATTACATAGTACCTCTCTTATTTTCAGATTAGAGACAGAATTAGGAATAAAGATAAGCGAAAATCAGTAATTATCGATGAAACATAATTAATAAAGGGAAATTTGCAGACAGTGACTACGTGTTGATTAGTCATGGATATCAATCATACAAAGATAATAATTGTTTTATAAATTACCTGCAAAACGTGTCAGTATCTTGATGCATTCGACTATGGATATAAACGAGGAGAAATTGTAAACCTTCTTTAGCAGAATTGACAGCCTTTCAATAAAACGGAAATATAATTTGATGAGAAACTTTACGTCTATCTGCTTTGGCATTATTACGATCTTTCGGTAGGTTTTAAAGTAGAGAATAACGCACGCATACAAATGTATGAACATTTCTACCTGTTTATAACTGCCACGATAGAATGTCGGACATCGCTCACCAAAGTCTCTTTGAAATGCTTCTAAGAATGCTATGCTATTGACAACTTGCCGCCGATCGCCTAAATATTTTTGAGGATGGTGTAGAGTTTAGCAGTAGTTAGTTTTAGATAAAGATTTTATAGTAAATCTTTAAAATCTAGGCAGCTATTTAGGGTACACGAAACGGCTTACCTGTTGCTCTTCGACCTATCAAAAGGTGGACTATCAAAAAACAAGAATGTTAAAATATGCACATAGTGCATATTTTAAGATATAGTCGTCAACAGAGCAAGTAAATACATTGATCAAAAATTATTTCTTTACCCAAAAATTGAATGGCAGTTGTCATAGGATTTATAAAATTGCTTGTAAACGTCAAGACATTTCGTAATATTGCTGTTAAAAACTGATGATATAATAAAAAGCTTTAGATAAATAAAGATACCGTACAACGGCAACTCGATATTGATGAATTCAAAACAATAAAACACATTCAAAATTTGAAGTAATATAATATAACGAATCTAAACTAACCTGTATGGGTCGACGGATCAAATCTGTTTGGCTAGTTGTCAAATTAGAGAACGTAGATTATATATTATGATACAATAAACAAAACCTCATATTAACTATTCTACAAATATTCGTTACCCGTCCACATTCTCGTTGATATTTGAATTTTCAGTAGTTTCAGATTGCTAGATAATTATATGCCAAATAGAATAATTTTGTAGATAAGTTGTTAGTTTGGGAATTGCTCATAAGAATGATGCACTAAAGTGCTTTTCTTGCGTAACGAGAGGAATATATTAAAACTTTGCTTTATACTACTATTTTTATTACGCGTAATAGAACCTACAATAATGTTGTACAGGAAATAATCATTTTTAAATTATGGTAGTTGATGAGTTAGATAGTCTATAAGAGAGTTATATTCAACATCTCTTGCAAATACCTGCATTTACTGCTCTAATAAATTATTATAGCAATATATAGTACTAGAAGCGTACCTGGTCCACATTATTATTGGATGAAAGCGAATGCTCATGTCTTGCGTCAGATTGCTGTAATAAAATTTAATATAGTAAAATTAGTAAGATATACCAACATGGCACTTTCTTTAATTAAAAGCTATAATGTTGTCATTTGTAAATAAATTAAAATTTTTAACTTCTACGGAAAGTTTGCAAAGTCTATGAAGATAACAATTGGATTTGCCTCGTTCGTGCCATAATAATCATGTCGAAAACTTTTCGTGTTAACTTGTAAGGAAAGATGTTAACAGTATTAATTCTTTTTCAAAGTCATACCGATCAAAGTACAGTACTATAGTGAATAACCACTACTATTTTGATTAAAGACATTGGAGATAGACTAACATGTAGCTCTATCTAATTCTATGATATCAAGAATTACTCAATATTGCACGTTTTACTGTGTGTACTCCATAGCTTTCCTATATAGTACGAGTAGTATTCCAAGTATACAAGACAGTTTGTTTAAGTTATAGGAGATTCTTAATTTAGAACTGCCCCAACGGTAGGTGACTGGGTCCAGTATTTAGGCATCATAATATAAGCATCATTAAGGATTTTTTTTTACGGATAAAGTGTGTACATATCATTGAACTATAATTTTTATTTCCCTAGCGGAAGAGACAAGTAGTCACTACAACTCTCAAAGGTGTGTCTGTAAGTGATTTAATGAATGATTGCCATTTGAATTATTACTTCTGCAACATTTTTTTTAATTGATTAAGTAAAACAAGTGCTATAAATATGATGTGATATCCAGAATTTTATACTACCAACTACCAAGGCAATCTACTGCAGCATCTCCTTAAAGAGAAATTCTCTTGGAAGTCCCTTCTTACTATATATGTCTTTAAAAGTGGTATACAAATACTATCAGTTCTTTTCAAGATTTGACTGCACTAGCTTAAAATAACCTACAAGTATAATATTGTACATGTGAAATTTTTTGCTTTACAATTAAGCATAAGCTACGTCTTTAGCGATTCTTCCTTTTATAGTAGGTTCCATTGAACAATATTCGATAATTTACACTATATCTCTAGTATAAATGATTGTGAACGTTATATAACTATAGGAATTGTACGGTATTTTGCTATAACAGATTATAATTTTAAATAACGACTACTCCTTGGCACAGTATACGTCACTACGTGTCAACTTCATAGTAACTTCTCCATTGGGGTGCATCCATATTGCTGGATACTCCATTGCGTAAACGTTTGAATCTTTCATAGTACATCATCAACAGATCTCCAATGGCAGTGTATTAATTAAATGATCTTGGCACAACAGAGTAAGTTACCACTATTTATCAGTTGTTGTAATCTGTTGCATCATCGTTATGTGACCGATTTAGCAATTAGCAAATAGTAATAAAGATAGACTACAGCAAGATGAAATGAATTAATTCATTACCATCCACTTGTATGAGTTGCAACAGCTAAGTTTATGAAAAAGAGTTTTTAACTTTACATACGTTGATTCTATGACGAAGTTCGTCCATTGATCAGATTCGTTGAAGAACTTGTAGTGATTGTAGGGAATTTGTTCAAGAAATTGGTTTTAGCACGTCTAAATCGATCATAAAATATGGATACTTCTTTCTCCGTCGGCTCTGGTGATGTAATGGAGAATGACTGGTTAACACCAACGATGTATCGTTGTGATAGTGTACAGCATCAGCTGTACCATACCTTGCAGAACTGTCAGTCGTCTGTATTACGAGTTGCGACTTTGCAGTGATACTTGACTCCGATGCCATACACACCACAGTCATAAAAGCGTAACGTCATTCAAATACTACGTCTGCGCAGTATGAACGACAATATGAGACGTCCCTTAGTGCCGAGTCCATCAGACCGGATCCGAACCGGACCAGACCATGAAGACTTATACCGTACTGTACATGATTGCCCACTTTTCATTATGATCGTAACAAAAACACTGCCGTCCTTAGTATACACTGTCAGAGACTACTCAAGTAAAAATGTTACTCTTTCCATCGTCTCCTACTCTTCTCTCTTACTATTATACTGTATAATCCCCGATTATACACTGTAGTAAGAGAGAGAGAGAAAGTAGACCGTGGAAGGGTAAATATTTTGACCTGCAATACGCTACAGTATGTGCAGTAGTCCCTGATACTTTACTGCATTGTACTATACTGTTCTGTACACTCGTGGAATATTAGAAGAAGACCTGGACTGATCATTCTTGGACAGACAGACACTTTTGGCGTCATCTCGTCAAAATATTGTGCCAAATACTTTGTTATGATAGCACTTTAGTATGGAATGGATCGATTTTAAATTGAGTGATTTTTTCTAAATTAAGTAATACTGTATTACGCTGAATCTTATTATCTGTTGCTAAGTTCTGCTTGGAAACAGTTATATAAGACCGTAGATGTTATTGATTAAGTATCAGTGATTTAGAAACAGACATGAAAGAGCCATTCCAAGTACAGTAATCAGTCTTCAATATTGACGACCTCATTTAGTAAAAAAAGTCCGCCTGTCCGAGTTCGGTGGCTCACTGCCGTCCATGGACTCCTAAAAGGATTTCTCCTTTTCATTTGTAATATGTTAGTACAGACTGTACAGTACTCTATTGTGGAATTGATCTTCACTTTTTGTACGATATTGCATCAGATTGACAAGATCATGAATGCAATACTGTAAATTGACAGAGTAATCCGAAGCACGGCTCGGCTAGGAATGGATTAATTTCGCAGTTTTTTTCATATGCTCGTAGAAGTGTTTAGTACTGTAGCATGGAATACATCAGTTCAACAGTTTCTGTCAAGTACACTACTGTATTCTAAAAACTTTTCATAAACTGGCGAGGGTCTGCGGTACTAAACAGTCACCGCGTCATGTTAGGCAGAAAATTAAGAAAATCCCGATATTATTTCTGCTCTTATAAAAGCGAGTTTATAGCTTTTCGAACTACTCTCCTACGCTGACAGCTACCTACAGTCCTACTGTGCCGGTCGAACATGACTCATGCAATACACTGCATATTTTTGTAACTTTGTTAATTAATAAAGTTATATGCAAGCACGAGATGCAAATAGGCAATATTTTATTTTTTTCTATATTTTTCTGTATTTTGAGGACTGACTACAGTAGTCACTAACTACTATAGTCAGTACTACCGCTACTGTAGTAGCGTGCTGTAGTACCGTATCGTACACTAGGAGACACTCGACAGTAGAGCTTGTCCTACATACAGTACTGTAATTATTGTTTCGAAAGTAATGCTGAAACGATTTTATAGAGCGGACTTAAATTCGATAAAAACATTTAGCGATATTTTTGAAGCAAAATCATATTCAATTCACTAAAAAAAACCGTTTCAGCGATACTTTTGAAACAAAAATCACGTAGGACTAACCCTACAGTGGGATGCCGTTGCTCTTTAAAATACCTCTCGAAATCTCGTCAGCTAATTATTATAGTACACACACGTATTGAACTAGCATCGACATGCTTTGATTGTACCGAGTAATGTAGAAAGTACGCGTAAATATAACCGTATATATAATTCCGAAAAACTGAATGATAATATTAATTTTTCTCTTATACTTTGAAATAGAAATATACCTTTCATAACGCAGTTACTAAAGTATTTTATTTAATGATATCTTCTCTTGGAAGCCCAACTGTATCGTTTCCGTAACTATTAAAAGTGCGAAATATACTTGAATATCATGATAGTGATGATCTTATAATACATTACTTATCAGAGTCGACCGCAAAACTTTGCCGGAGTTACTATTAAATGTCTAAGAGTATAAACTAAACAATACTGTTAGCTTTCGCAAGCTTGTCTCCAAGAATATTACTGTGGAATTACTCTTAACTAAAAAACTTATGGTTCCTGTATTTTGCTTCATCTCTGCTTTGTAATAAAGTACTTGCTATCAAGTGATCACGGTAACGCCGAATAGCTCATCTTTACAATTATTCTGAACCAGACAATGTTAATAGATAATTCTTTGGCCAAGCCATAATCACTGCTGTTAGTGATAGCAATAAGATGACCGTATACATAATCTGATCCAACTTATTTATAATGCAATTAACTTGGCTTTTATTTTTTAAACACTATTGTACACAATCATGATATACAGTAGCATACATATCTAAATCATCACAAAACGGAACTATTGGTGATTGAATTACAGTACACAAGCTATAGATTATTGCGACTCCATTTACACACAGTACAGGTGTATCTACTGCAATATAATGGCGGAATAGATAACCGTAGTTAGGTAAATCTACAACCTACGGTAGAAGCACGATATTAGTGTCACAAAGGTACAGCAATAATACATTTTTACAACATTTACAAGACCCAACCAACTTGATTAAAAATAGGAAACGCTATATGACAACATCTTCGTGGAGTGTGAACATCAATAATCACGATAACGTAACAATTCAGTTCAACTTTGCCAATGTTGTTACGAGTTCAAAATGCCTTACAACTGCAATCCTTACGTGATTGACTACATACATAGTGATAAGTAAGCGATAGCTGCCGTAATATTGGTTTCATTTATAAGAAAGTCTAATGCAATACGTTCACACAACTAAATTACCATATTCTGCCCATATCCTACGAATAGGTCACAAATTTACAAACTGTACAATCTTATTCAAGCAGGGCTACTATCGACATTAGGGCCTTGAGTGAATATCACCACTATAAGCGAATGAAATATCATGTTACAGTACCAAATATACGCTCTTTACTGCCAGATAAAAATTCTAAGTACCACATTGCTACTCAATACTATTACATTTTATGCCGTGGAAGAATGGCTAATGCGATCAGCTACTCAAATCATAAACAATACATTGACATACGATATACTGCGATACAATTTTTACATAGCACCTCCGCTGTTAGACCTTTCATGGTCATCATCACTCTCATCATAGCTAGCATTTCCTTTACCAACATATTTCTCTAGTTTAGCTAAAATATGCTTCCCATACGTATACTTACGAAGCACTCCTGTAAAAGGGCGTATCTTTTGGATTAATATCTTACGTTGAGGGGAGTCTGCCATATCTATCATCTTCTGAATTACATAATTCGCGAATTGGTCTTTCATCATAGTATATAACCCACTATTATTTTGATTACTGTCAAGAAGGAATAATCCAAAATAAGTTTCATCATAAAATATACATTAGTAGGCAAAGTTTATGTACGTTTAACAGGTTTACCGGAATATACACCGTATAGATACCGATAATCCTATCAAACTCTTTCATACCTGTCAGAATGGCTACTACACACTTCCTCTACCAGAAGAGCTCTTTCAGCTTTTGTAGAATGTGATACACATTTCTCGATAACATTGCTATAAAGGAAAGTGATAAAGTAACATTTATTAGTATATTAAATAGATGATTTTTTTCTATATTGCTAGAAGCAAAATAAAATGAGGTTTATGTTTCCTGTACCTTGCAAATTTATGTTGACTAAGTTCTACAATTTTGCCCGTCAGTTTACTAATAATTTTGCTCTTGTCTTCTAAACGACCATGCTCTAAAACATGTTGAATTACATAATTGCCATATTGATCTAAGACAAGTTGTTCGGTTGCTTCATGCAATTCATCTAGAATGGGTTCTGTTTGCTCTGGTGTACAATGTTCTAAGATTCGTTGTATGACGCGACAACCGTATGGATGGGTAGAAAGTGAAAATACCTAAGAAATAACATTAACGATATAATAAACAACAGTTTAATAACCTTTATAAGGCGTAAACGATATAATATAATCCAATACTATGCAATCGAGCATACACTATGTTTGGCATACCTGTTTCTTAAAGGCGTTTATAATAAATTGCAATGCTGATGGGCTTACACATTCAATGCATTTTTGCACTACATGATTTCCATTTTGATCTTTCACGCACTTTAAAACATGGCCATCAAGCTCTTTTACAACTTCCGTCTAATAACGTAAAATTTTGTAATTAAGTTATAAATGTTTCATTCTATGGCAGTAATATTACATTGAAAGCTAAAGATCTAACCTGCTGCTCTACCGGTATCGATTCTAGGGCTTTTTGTATTACTCTGCACCCGTACATTTGCAACGCTAAAGGCAATACATGACCTTTAACCCGTTCTGCAAGTAGTTGCTTTTGTTCTGAACTTCCAAATTCAAAGAACTTTTGGATAACATAATTGCCAAATACATCGGTCATTAAATCATAAGCGGAATTTATGATCTCATTAAAAACAAGCTGTTTTTCAGCAGTTGTAGCTCTTTCCAATTTCTGTTGTATAAACCTAGACCCGTGCTGATCTTGTGAAAATTCAACAATATGATTGCACAATTCCTTCAATTGTAAATTAGGGTACCGGTTGTTACGGAACTCCTCAAGCAATCTACTACGCCCGGTTTCCTTGCCATGACTACCGCTATTACCTCTTCCCCTACCATATCCTCCACGATGCTTTTTCTCGCCGGCTCCAGTAACGATACGAGCATTATTATTGTGTGCAGCAACACCTGGTTTACCAGTCGGAGGTGATGACCTTGCTTGAAGATTATAGTTACCAGTATTTGCAGGAGCACCACTCCCAACTGGACCTGGATTAGTTGAATTGGATGAGTAAAACTGAGAATATGGAGCTCTTTTATTATATTCAGTATTATTATTGACAGTGGAGCCGAAAGAATTGCGTCTTGGAGCAGACGAGTTATTAGATATTGAATTAATGTTACCACCTAATACCGACGCAGTATTATTTATAGTCATATTCGATGAATTCATTGACGCATTATTTGAGGGAGCCTGAATGTAATGACTACTAGAACGATTAACAGAAGCTTGATTTTGTTGTGTATTATACATTCGCATGGGTTGCTGCATTGCTTGGTTACCAACCGCAGCATTTCCGGAATTATTCATCATAACAGGTGGTGATACTAGGCGTATTGGATTGCTCATGCCTTGTGGCATACCACTCGCTGGGGTTGCTCTTGGATTATTGACCATGACAGTTGGAGCTGGCGTTTGTTCGTAGTAGGTAGGAGCGCCACTTGGAAATGCAACCGCAGGATTTTGGCCGGCATTAGCTAAGATCTGATAATTGGCTTGTTGAGATGTCAAAGCATTACCAGCTTGTACGTTATTAATTACTTCATTGGGTTGTGCTTGCATGGAAATTTGAGCTCCATTGACAGTTGCGTTACGAATAAGCTGTTGTTGTTGCTGCTGCTGAGGCTGTTGCTGCATCATGCCGGAATACATATTCCATGATGGAACGTACGGAGGGTTAGCATATTGCGTTGGCATAACCGCAGGAGGTTGGTGCGATGTACTGTTTCCATTACCACTGAGTGTAATAGGACTATTTGCATAATGTTCTTGCGAACCAGAAGCACTTATAAAGAACGCACCTGGGCCGTAGGATGGCCCAGGCATGTTCAGTTGTTGTTGTTGCTGGTTTGAAGTCAGTGTCAATTGCTGATGAAATTGCTGATGTAAAGATGTCCCCTGAGAACTTGCATTTCGATTGTATGCCAAACCTGAATTATTTTGAGCCATATAATCGACTCCACTTGACGAGTCTACGTACGATTGTACCATATGCTGTTGACCATAACTTAAACCGCTTCTATCATGATTATCTAACTCCTGCTGCGGAGAAGATCTCCTAGAATTTTGCTGAGACTCAACATGTCCAAGAGACTCACTAGGTGACGCTCTGTGGCTACCAATATTGCGGCTAAAAGAAATGTAAAAGTTGCATAAATGAAACAATCTAAAGGTAACAAGAAAATTTATTTACATTAGAAATCACCATGTGGTTAAATGAATTACCTAAAAGGCTCATCATCTACAGATGTGGATCGTGATTTTGTATATTGTTTATGCTTTTGCTGTTGTTGCTGTTGCTGTTGCTGCTGAGCTAACTTATCAATATCTCTATCAATGTCTGATTCGCCGTCTTCTTCATATTTAGGAAGAGCGTTTTTGTTTGCTACTATAGTCTTAGTAGTTTCTCCTTCGGGTACGGTGTCAATTTCGGATACTGGTAGTCCTTGCTGTGAACGACATTCATAAAGAACATTCCATGTTGAAGCATTAGCACAATTTAATTTGCTAGAACGAATACATAGACTATAGCCATCAACAATACTTACATATCCAGCTTTCAGACGAAAGTTTCTCGAGTCAACCAATTCCGATCCACCAGGTGAAGAGCCTAGCAATGACTCAACCATACTAACACCAACATCAGCAGTGTTACTTGATCTAGGAGAGAGAGCTTCTGGAGAAAATGCCGTCGGACTAAAAGAAGAAATAGCAACAAAATCAAATTTCACTTCGAGTAATTATATGCATGTCACCAGTAGAATAATTTTAGTTGTGCGATTGTAATATTGCGTTTCATAATTGCAGAAGTTATACCGTGTTAATTGATTAACACCAATCGGCTCTGATACGGCGTGATCGGATTGCGACATAGTAATTGAAGGGCCCCATGCTTGATCTGTACACCATTGATCACTAAAGAAGGCTCTGTTCGACGTTCTTCGATTCCTATCGTCGTCATTATCGTGGACTTCCCAAAATTTTTTAGCACCCGGCGCAATCTACAGAGAATATCACACAGAATTAATATCTTATTCAACAGAATAATTCTTACTAAAGACTGAATAAATCTATTACGTATTCTAGCAAATTATACACAGTAACCGAAAAGTTAAACAACAATAACAAAAAAATTATCACACTTTTATAACATTTAATGCATTGTAGTAATTACGCATCCTAGTACCATAGTGTCAAACGATCGCCCGAAATGAAAATACGATCTAGCAATATTAGTCGAAGCTGTTAAAAGCTGTTTGTAACCCACAGATATTATTAATGTATTAACTATAAAAAAAAGAATCTTCACGGCAGTTTTAATAATGTACGGAAGGTTTACACATTAACGAGCAGATAAAGAAAAGGATAAAACTGACAAAATACGTTACATTAGATAACGATAGCTTATCTAACAAACAACATTTCTGAGCGTTCTAATGGTAAAATATCGCTAGAGCAGGTTGTACAGTACGCTACTATATAATACTGTATATCGAAGAAGATCATCCGCCGTACAATATAATGTACAGTAATCCGAACGAATTACGAATATTAGACAACAATGTAACAAGAATAATGCACCGTTAAAGAGTCTTTGACCATATTAACATATCAATCAAAAGGTAATATATGAGAAAAAAATAGGCCAACACAGTACCATCTGGTGCTACCACGATATGAAAAAATCTCAAGATGCGCTCAGTTATTGACATACGCACGGAAAGTTAGGTCGTCCGTCAAGTAGTAATTATCACTTCCCAATTACGTACTTTGGCGATTTTAATTTGATGAAATTCGGATTCTACCTGAGGAACTACAGTATTTTGTTGCACTGACGGCGACTGAATGTAAAAATCTCAAGTCAGCGTCGTCATGTGGTGGTATGTGCACACAGAAATCAATTACAGTACTACCGTTAACATTTCGATAAAAGGTCATAGTACTCCTACATTTTTTTTCTATAGCACCGATAACTTAGGTAAAGTAAAGATCTTCTCACCCTGACTCATGCAACCACTTTCATATAAATTTGATGTAGCCTCCGTACGCAAAGCAATCATCCCGAATTAAATTTTAGACTGATTGACCGTCGAAATAATAAAAAAGAAAAGAATAATGTCGATATCGAAGGGGACGATAATTTTTTCTAAGCTATTGTCTCACTTTTTTGGCGTTTTTAATCAAGTGCATCATATCGATACGGTTTACTTTTATACCGTAACGTGAAGTAGCAACAGTAAATGGATGGTATATTTACTGCATAAGCGTAGATATGGCGGTAAAATTCATATATAAGGATGGATAAAACTCAACTTGTGTAAGATTAGCACAAAGACACTGAATGAATTTTCTTTGTTAGTGAACTACAACAAGACCATTTGTTATGCGCAAAGAGTAGAAGAGAGATCAGACTTTAATAAGACCTACTGTATTGACCGTCAAGTCTATTCTTTACAATTAAAACCTTCAACCACATAAAACGGAGCGTTAATACGAACTGATGAGGCTTATATTTTAACGAAGCTAATAGGATTTTACTTGTTCATATGCATACAGTATAAGTATGATGTGGTTATAATAATGGAACATATTTACAGTGAAATTACAGCGACGCGCTGCAAACGATGATTTCTATTCATGTAGGTCATTCAGTTAAAAATCGTTATCGCTGTTCTTTTAAGTAAGATGAGTAATATATTATAAATCTAACAACGGTTTTAAAGACAGAAAAATTTAAAGCGGATACTCTAGCAGACCATAATAAATGTCATACAGCTGTCATTACAACATGGTCAAAAGCAATCTTAGAAACGATATTTCGATTATCAACTCCAGTCTAATGATTGATATTGACAACGATAGCACATTGCAGCACTACTGTACACTCAGTATACTGCATTGTGTTGGAGTATTTAACTTATTTCGAACAGCTAGTAGCAATTGAATTTGCTATCCTACGTGAGTTCTGGTAAAGTTAGAATCCAACAGTAGCGTTAATACAGTACACAAGCAACGCTACCGTCGTACAAGTATATCTATCTTGATGAGACCAAAGCATCAGTCAGTCTCATCTGGCAATACGGCACTGAAATTCAGAGAAATAACTTGTCGTATTGGCAAATGTTAAAAAACTATCTCGCCTTAAATAAACTTAAGCGGTAATAGCAAGATCGGAACAATTCAACCAAAAAATGCACCTAGTACAGTAGTTGAAAGCGTTTCACCCTGAGCTAATTATAACATCAACTGATGACGAGCTAAAGTGCTATAATCTATCATTCTACAAGCGTCTGTGATCGAACTACACACTATATTATTATTAACACTCTTTGATTGAAACGAATTTGACAAATATAAAACTAGCAAGTCTTGTACCTGTTGGTTCATCTGGTTATCACCTACAGACCACGCTTCCGAGTTATAACTTTTCTTATTGTCGTCTATGCCTTGATTGTTGCGGTAATTCTTGCGCGATTTAAACAAATGATCGGTAAGGCCATCTTTCTTCTCGCTATTGGATAAGTCTGTATTGGGTGTATCGTCGACTTTGGACAGATGCCTGCTATCGTAAGAATTTTCGTCCCAACCTACCTCATGCATACCCTGAACGCATGGATAACTCATCTGACTAACCTACAATTAAATCAACGAACACAAAATGACACCAATGTTAGCTGGGGTACAAGAGCTCTTTTACTCCTATTAATCGACGTATAGAGTCAATTTAACAACACTAGGGTATTGTCCTATTATAGACATATTTCAAAATGGCGATGATTTTCGAACGGGGCGTGTTCTACAACATTAGTAAAACGGCCTTCGTTCGATAGTTAGAGGTCAAATAAAAAGCTAATACAACAGAAATAATATTCTTTAACATCTAGATATTATCAAGATTGGAGTAATACCATGGATGAGGAAAGATTACCTGCGATACTGTTCTGATGACCCCTGATAGCTCTAAACCAGCATCAGGTTCTTGTAAGAATTGTAGACAACAGATTATAATGGCTACCGCCAATCCCAGCTATCCTTGCGCAGTGGTACCTAACCACACTGATCGATGGTTTTATATTACTTTGCTGTACTGGTGGTAGTGTTTGGTGATAAAAAAAAAAATGCTCCTTATGCCCGTAGCTGTCCTACTATACCACGGTACCAATGGACAATGTACTGTACATATAGTACAGTACAAGCAAATTGTCGCCAGTACGATACAGTGCAGTACGTTAGCGTATTTAGTATGTGCAGCCGACGCATGTGCGATACAGTAAAATTGTCCTAAAGGACAGCTTTAAAAACTCTTTGTGTTGGTACAGTATTTTATTGGCGTGCGTTGTCACTGTGCGAGTTAGTTTTTTCAGTACAGTACAATACGACAGCGGAGTCCACTATTGTAGTCTATAGGCTTCTTCCAAAAAGCAATGTCCCTGTACCAGCACAGGTACAGTATACTGTATGTACAAGCTAATCGTTAACCCGCAAGTCCATGATTTGCGATAAAACAAATAAACATCAAACATTACGCGGCAGCAGTGCGAGCTACTAGCTATTCGTATACTGTATATTGTCTCCAAGCCTCTACGACCCTCTGCCCTTTGCACATGTGGTTAATCTCACGCGTGTCCAAAAGCAATTACAATTGTTGTACTGTACACTGTACACTGTACACTGTATACTGCAATTTTGGCAATGGGAGAGAGAGATTGAGGAACTTTAATGCGGCTACCGATGCCCATAAATAAGAATGTAATTCACCAAAACTATTTCATTTTACTGTACAGTGTATAGTATTTCATGTACTGTACTGTACATTGCATATTTTATTATGAATATTCCATTGCTTTAAAAATATATCGGCAAGACCATCTTATCGCCGCCTTACTCAGCGCTCGAGCTTAGCTTTGAAAAATTGGTTAAAAACACTTTAGCAGTTTACTATCTCGCATGACAAACTTGCTTATGCACTACAATATTGGTACATTCACTCAGTAGTCTGCTGTAAAGTAAAACCAATTAAAGAGTTTTGCACATTGTACGTTGTAACGGCATTCGTAGTTCAGCAGATGTTAAATTAATTATAGAAATACTGTAACATGATGACACAGATATCAGTATTGTCTATAGTATGGATAGTAGGAACGCGTATACTGTACGTATTGTACGTGCACAGTCAGGGACTTCTAAAAAAAGGACTCCCTGGTATAGTACGCAACGGACGTGCATGCAGATGTTGCAATATTTGTAAACGACGTGACGCAACGCTGCATATTCATGATGCCAAATGAGGGGAAAGCCAAGGCAAGTTAAGCTTTATACCAAACCATAGACAGGTGTATTATAAGCTGGTTGAGTAGGTGGGTAAACTCTCCCAACTCTGTATCTTTACACTTACAGTCACTGTACAGTACACTATTACAGTACAGTGGACGTACTGTACAGTGTACACTGTACTTTACTACTGAGTACCGTAAAATCATGCCACTTCATTTTGAGCCTGCTCACTGTTTACTGCGCAGGGGCCACTGCTACGGGCTTTGAGATCAAAGTTACAGAATCAACTTATCCATACCGGTCCGAAACTACTAATTATAATTAATTATTATTTATTTATTTATTATACAGTCTACAGTTACGGTAATCATAATGATAAAAATACGAATTTATATTAAGAAGACACCCAGCTGTCATCAGTCAGTAACTGACGACA